TAAAATCACAGATGTGATGCTAACAAATCTTGCATAAAAGCTGAATCAAAAAATAAAATAATCAAGTCAAGGAAGCCATGCTTGTATTGATGTAGGATAAAGAGAAGATTGAACATAATAATTAAATTGGTCTTAAGGATATGGCATTTGGACTGAAGATACCACTTAAAGAAATCTAGGTCTAGTTCATGAACTTGGTCCTCACATATCTGAAAAGTAGGAAAATTTGGATATCCATGCCACATAATTAGATAACTGCAAGTGCCACCATTAGGAGAAGGAACCAGTGATCTTCAAGGCTAGCCTCGATATCTTCTTGTGGTTGCAATGATGAAGGAACCTTAGGTAACTGCTTTCTTTTAGAAATGCTTAAAGATGGAGGAGGAGGCTCAAAAATGCCTTGATGAAGTGTTAAATCTTCTGTACTTAAAAAAGTAGGATTAATATTCGTATGAGTAAGGAAATTGATCAAATGTGCATTAGATCCAAGAGGTCGAATAATAGGGAAAGGGCCAAGGTCTCCGGCATCTAATTTCTTTACTGAATATTTGAGATAGTGTTCAGGACAGATACAAATCACGAGAAAATTCCTGTATCCAATTATATAGTTTTACGTTGTAAATCCTTTGTAAGTTCACAATATAGTTAAGGCAATCTTTTGCCTAGTATCAGCAGGAAGTGTTGCTTGAAAGTGAAAAGGATTTAGTTGATAATTATCCAGGAATTCCTGGAAGGTTTAAAATCTGCATGTGAAACACGGGTTGTCCCAGCACACCATGACCACCACACAAGGATTGGTTAATATTTTATGTAAATTGAGTATGATATTGGTATCATAATGAAGAAAAGAAATGGATAAGCATTGCATAGCATTTAATTTTTATGTTCTATTCTTGATTGTTGATAGGTTTCAAAATCCCCCTCAGAATTAGAGGTTGTTCTTGGAGTTATAAAAAGCTGCTGCAAGTCTCATTTGGGGAGGGAAGGCATGTTGGCAGCCTCCAAGCAGCTACAAACTCTGGAGGTATTTTTTCACCATTGTACTTTGCTGGTAGAAACTACTGCAATAATACAAGTGTGATTCCATTTTGGGTGATTGGAAGGGAATATACCCTATTCTAATTATCTTTCACTATTTTGTTGGTCAAGCTATCTTCTGCTTATATTCTTTAGGCTGTCAGTTAATATACAGGCATCCTGCATTTGATTTGAAATCTGATTGTTCGTTTTCTTTCTTATATATGTTAGGGGATGCGGAAAGAGTATAGCCATGCAAGGTCATTGGCAACTGTGCAAGCTCAATTCCTACTTGCTCATGATGAAATTAAGATGGCAACCACCAGGTTGCACCTAAGGGAAAATGAGAACGATAAATCTATTGATGCTATCAGTCCAGATGAATTAGACTCAGCTAATGCACAAAATTCTGGTGAGAAGTTCACGTCTTTGGCCTTGTTAGCAAGTATACAAGGGAAACTTCGTTACTTGAAGGTACCACCATAGAGTCTGTTGGAGAATATGTTATTAATTAAGAACTATTGAGAATGTTTGAGAGAATAAGATTTTTTTAAGTAATTAATACTTTATCTAATGCCTAATTGCTTACTTTTATAATCAATACTTTATTTAAGCACATTTCTTTTAATGGTTCAGTCTACCTCTTAAATATTGTCTTGCACATGTTACTACAATATTATTATTTTTACCTTACTATTTCTTTTGTTAGAGCCAGATCTCATAATCTGTGGTAATGTTATTTTGCTGATATTCCTACCTTTATCGTATTAAATTCAAACGCAAAATCGAGCATTGTTAGTTTAATGGCTTCGATACAATGTTATTGTATAATGCTTTTCTTTGGAGAAACAACAAAAGTACTTCTGTTGGATATGTAGACAACCTATGGGTTGATACCAAACTGATGTAGAATATGATAGTTAGAAGGCTTTGAAGTTAAGAGCTCATGAAAGATATTATTAGAAATAGAACACAGAGCAAATCTGGGATTAAAAGCAAAGACCATATCGTGGAGAACAAGGAGAAGTGATAACTTGAATTTATTAATTTAAATTTTCCAATTTCAATTCCTTCCGTTCTGAATCAAAAGCTATCGACTTCTAAATATAGGTGCTTACATGTTCTGATCATAAGACTACACTTTTTATTTATTTTCATTTTTCTTTTTCTTTTCCCTTTTTTGTATTTCTCTGATATATAAAAGTTATCTCCTTTCTTATGGTCACATTTGAGTATTGTTTTCAGGGTTTGGTTCAATCCAAGCAGAAGGATGCGGTCAAAACTTCAAGTGATTCTTTATTAAATCAAGAAATAGCTACAATTTCAACTTCAGTGGAACAGAAAAGTGAATACCTATCTAAAGCTGAGGAAGCATGTCCAATTTGTCATGAAAACCTCAGCAAGCAAAAGATGGTTTTCCAATGTGGGCATGTTATCTGCTGTAAATGTAACTACTATACTACCTTGGCCATTCTCACTATAACTAAGTTCCCAATTGCTGCAGAAACAATTACTATAGAATGTTTTGCATTCAGTTTAGAATAGATGCTTCTACATAGGAAATGGGACAATGTTTTGCGGTTGTGTGCAGACACACGAAGCATGAATGCACAGACCCATGCTTGTCAATTAAATCATTACATGTTCTATATTGAAGTTTGTGTTGAAAGCCTTGGATATTATGAATGGTGAAGATTTTTGAAATCTCTGCTGCCTGACCACACTACATGGTTTTATGTATTTTGTTACTTTGGTGGATAGTTGGACTATGTGAAAGCTGGCTGGAATAAACCTGCATTAACAGAAAATACTTTCCTCACTGTCCATTGTCAAGTGCTGTAACTTTTTTATCTATGCTATATATAACTAATTACTCTAGTAAGTGACAGAACTTATTCAGAATGCCTTCATACTCAATTAGAATATAATATTGACAATTTTTATACTGAGAAAATCCACTCTAAATCTCCCGTAGAGCATACTTGTTAGCTTGTCTTTCGCTGGTATCCATTAGCAGATGTAAGAGGTGTATCTCCAGAACCAAGTCAACCAAGGGTGTCTATGCCCATAGCCTTTTAATTCATCTCTCTAATCGATTTCTGTTTTTCTCACAAATTCCTATCAACTCTGTGGTCTTGCAGGTCTATTTGCCATGACTGAGCAGAGATTAATTTGTGATACTCAGCACAAGTGGCTTATGTGCCCGGTATGTCGACAGCATACAGATGTAAGAAATATCGCCTATGCCGATGACAGACAAAATAGACCATGTAATTCTGATTTGCTGCACAAAGTTCAAGGCTATGAGATGTCTGAATCATCTCTGACTGTTCAAGGCTCATATGGAACAAAAGTATGCTTCCTCTCCTTCGCTGTATAATAAACTCATGTAGTGCATAAATTAGTTCTTATAGCACTGGTGTGGTTTTCTCTATTTGATAGGTATCCATTATTCATTTGTTTCATCTTTTTGATGCCCCTGGGCACCCTTTCCCATGTTCTTTTTCTTGTTCACCAAGCATACCCACAATACTGCGTATGCATGGTCAATTGTCACAGTTGCTTGAAATTTCCTTGGGGGAATAAGAATCAACACTAGAGTTTATACGGTTGCTATCATGCTTGTGTCCAAGTTGTACATCTTCTCTTATATTGTTCATGTGGATAAATGAAAAAATTATGAACAATTATGATGCTGTCAGTAGCAAATTCAGGTTATTATCATATCTGACTTTTTTGTGGGCTATTGTGAAGATTGAAGCTGTTACCAGGAGAATCCTGTGGATCAAATCTACTGATCCAAATGCCAAAGTACTTGTTTTCTCAAGTTGGAACGATGTTCTTGATGTATTAGAACATGCTTTCACTGCCAATGATATTACCTATGTCCGAATGAAAGGAGGCAGGTAAGAACAACTGTGAAACAGCCAACAGCTGTAGTCTTTCTTGCTGCGTGACACCAATGCACTTTCTGTAGCTGCCCAATGAAGTATATTAATGTAGGAGTCTAAGAACTAAGAAGTTATGCTATGCCAAGTCGAAAAAACTAAGAGGATATGGCTAAGAATTTTAGAAGTGCTCTTTTAGGTTTCTGAAGTTAAAAAATATCATGAATGAAGGGTTGTAAAGCACCTGATATAATTACACACAAATATCCAGCAAAGGGCGAGGAATTTTGAAGTCTGATGTTCTGTTCTATATATGTCGGTTTATATAAATTTTTTAATTATCTCAAATATATATATATATATATAAACTTTTTAAACAATATTTTTTGGGGGTCATTGGGCTATTCTAAATGGTTATGCTTATGGCTTCCAAACTGCAGGAAATCTCAAGTTGCTATCAGCAAATTTAGAGGTCAGCAAAGCAATGTAACAGAATGTCACAAAAGAAAAGTCCAGCAGGAAAAAGCAAAGTCTTTCCAAGTTTTATTGCTTTTAATCCAACATGGAGCAAATGGCCTCAATCTGTTAGAAGCACAGCACGTTATCCTTGTAGAGCCACTACTGAATCCAGCAGCTGAAGCGCAAGCTGTGAGCCGGGTACACCGTATTGGGCAAGAGCATAAGACGCTGGTTCATCGATTTATAGTATGTCATCATTTTCTATAACCTGTTCATGTTGAAGAACCTTGGTCATTTATTGACTGCGGAAATGCACTTGGTTGTGAAATTGACTTTTGGTTTTACCATGGCAGGTTAAAAACACTGTTGAAGAGAGCATCTATAAACTGAACAGAAGCAGGAACACAAGTTCTTTCATTAGCGGAAACACCAAGAATCAAGATGAACCCCTTTTGACGCTTAAAGAAGTCGAGTCTTTATTTGCAGTGGTAGGAAATGATGAAAAGGCAAGTGAGAACCTAAGGGATTTACCGCCTTCGGTGGCGGCTGCCAGAGCAGCCGAGAGGAGACTGAGAGAGAGCAATGCAAGATAAGATATGTTCTTCAGTATAAACCATAAGTTAGAATGGTCAACCTCCTTTAACTGAAGTTGTTTACCTTCCTGCTTATCTTGATTTGGCAGGGGCTGAAGTTTTGGGAGAGTTGAAAATAACTGATATAGTGTAGCTTCATATTAACGGAGACAGATAACTACTTCTCCTGGAGAATATTAATTGTATATCCATGCTGCAAAGTTAGACGGTGCATTTTCAGGCACTATGACAATAATGAGATTCGTAGTTCTCCTTTTTTAACATTCTGAGACTCATATATGATAAAAACAAATATAAACTATTATGATATGTAAAATAAGTTGTGGGTTAATTTAAGAATGATGTCTCTATATAGTTAAAAGCTTGAATTATAAGACTGAGCTCTAAACATATGATTAAGCCACACTCTTACTTTTAATTAGTGAATGGTGCAAAAAACAAACCTCGCGTAACAAGAAAGAAAAGGGTTAATTTTTCAATAAGAGTTAGGTGTAGAATACATTCTTGGTCGTCTTTTATTTATATATTTGAGGGTAACACAAATACCCTGCAACTGTTCGTATGAAATTCTGTGGATACGAAGATAGTCTCCAAACGATAAGCGTTAAATTTTATGTTTGACCGACAAGAACGTGTCATCCATTCTTCGAAGCGCGTGCCTTTTCTCTGCCTCCACGTGTGCGCCTGTGTTTCTTCAACCTACCTCCTTCTGCCACCTCCGCTCAACCCAAACTATATATATACACCAAATGAACAACTTGCACCTGCACTTTTAGTTATGGCTTTTTCTCATCCTCAAACCCATCATCTTCTCCTTCCTTCCTCCTCCAAGCATGTGGGTATGGCGGCGGCCACACCATCAAACCTGAAACTGAGGGTTCACCAACGGGGATTCCCTGTTGGGTGCTTGAGTATGGATTCAGGGGCAGTGGTAGAACTGGAAAGAGAGTTAAAGGCTGAGATTTTGAACCCAGAAGAAGAGCAAGAGTTGATGAAAGCAGGAGACAAGTGTAGGGAGAGGAAGGGAGTGGTGGCGCTGTTAGAGTGCTTGGAAATGGAAGCAATCATGGGTGGTGATCAAGGCAAAAACCCTTCTGATTACAACAGAAGAGCGCGGATTTTCGATAAGAGCTCCAGAGTTTTCCAGGCTCTCAAGCAACTACAGAACAAAACAGCAGTATGACAACAAATTCTCACTCTCCTTTGTCTTTAATGCTTTGTATCTTTTTCATGCTCCTGTTGCAATGGGCTTAAAGAAAGGCCTTGTTGTTTTTACTTGTATCACAAAATAATCAAGAAGCATAAATCAATACTTCCTTAGGAATTTGCTAGGACAAGTATCAATGGTTCTTGCAGTTTCAGAAAAAGTTATGTTAAATCAAGAAACAAAACCACTTCTGGATTCACCATAAAATCCCAGGTATTAATGCTGGAATGGCCTCAGCATACAGAAAACCAAACTAACATTATTCAATCAAACGTTTCTATGACTAATCATCCGCAAACTATTGGGAAAGAAAAGAAAGCAGAATATTTTTCCAAAATGTTGATCTTGATTCACTTTGCATCTTTTTCCGGTTTCTCCAGAAAAGTCTTCTTCAACCAATCAAAAGGCTGGGAAAACACCAAAAAACATACATGTAAATTTTGAATGTTCAACAAAGTATACAAGGAGATATACAGAAAACTATGGTAGAAAAGAAACTCTAATGCTCTTAAGTAATCTAATAAACTTCATTCCTCGATCTGCATGACTGTATCAATGCAAATACAAGTAAACAGCTGTACTGGATATTTCAAAAGTGCTCTCCAGAAAGATCATAACATATTATAATTGAGAAACAGGACAAGTCATCATTTTATTCATGAAATGGTACCAGAAGCAGACAAGTCATCACTGTATCAATGAACTGGTATCTAAAAGTTCCAAGGCTCATATGCATAACTCCAAGAGCCCATTCAACTGCCTAACAATTTAAAATTAAAGAACTAAACTTTGATTGCATTCAATTTAATGGTAAACTCACTATCAGGTTATTCAACCCTTAATTACTACTGTCAAAGTTAAAATAGGATAGTAACGAAATACTATCAGGTTATTCACCCATTAATAAACTGATATTAATATTGCATTAGGATCAGGTTATTCACCCATTAGTATTGCATTACTATCAGGTTACTACTGTCAAATTTAAAGAACTAAACTTTGATTGCATTCAATTTAATGGTAAACTCACTATCAGGTTATTCGCCCATTAATTACTACTGTCAAATTTAAAATAGGATAGTAATGCAATACTAGCTCAAAATATTCTAGAAAGCAAAAAAAAAATGCACTTAAAAAGAGGCTACAAGAACAAATAATAATATTTCAAGATTTAAGAGATTTCTTCCCCATCAAAAGAAACCAACCTTCAAGCTAACCATAGCTAGCATAATTAAAGGTTTCACATGATCAACATCAAGAATGAACCAACCATCCTTTGGTTGGATAGATGGTACTTTCACCTTTTGTGATGAAAAGTTGGGGTTCGAATGAGGGGGGCGGGATGTTAAAAATAAAACATTAAGAATAAGAGGGTGCAAGTATTAAGGAGGCTGGACCATGGAACCCTGAACAAAGCTTAATGAAGCACCAAGACAGACCTTGTAACATGATGCTAGCAGACATTCAAACGCAATTGGGGGTAAAGTTCAGGTTTCTTCTAGTCTCTGTGCCACCAAATCAGTACCATGATGAAGATTCTTTTATTAATTTGATATTACTAATTTCAACTTCTATTAGCTTGCAGCCTTGGTTTCCAGACCCCACAGAACAAATCAATCACTAACCCTGGACAGCGAGAATAAATTGGTCAATCATTGTCCAAATAATCTGCTACAAATATGAAGGACAAACTAAATATGTATATAGTAGCTGTTTCTAGCGATGAATCAACACCAAATTAAAGTCAAAGAAACAAAACAGCAAAATCAATAACAAATATAAGAGAACAATAACTGAGGGAAAAGAAGATGAAGAAAAGAAGAAAAGGAGCGTACTTGGACGAGCCAAAGAGCGGTGGTAGCGGCAGCGACGCCCCACGAGGCGGCGGCATGGATGTCCGTGGACTGCGGCCTCAATCTCGGGCGAAGGAATTTGAAGAGTCCCGCTTCTCCTGCCATTTTACGGTTCGGTGTCTCTCTCGATCAAATCGAAGAAGTAAATGAAAGGGATCTTGGTGGTTGTTGCTTTCACTTTTTCGATTGTCCAGGGAAAAAGCTTGATTCCTTCTTTCTTCTTGACTATTTCGGTCATCAATATTATATTTTTATTCTAAAAATACTAAAAATAAAATTATATAGAAAATATTACTCACTACCATACAAATTATTTATTAAAAAAAAATGGTCTTTGCTAAAAGCAAAATCTAATTTATTACATATTTTAACATTCAGGAGGATTTTGTTTTTTTTAATAATATAAACAAGAGGAAAAAATTAGCAAACAAGGGCTAGAAAATCTCAAGAAGTTGATTTTTTATCTTAAAGATAACACAAATTGCTATTTTTTTTTTATGAATTTATTCATTCTGAAAATAATCTGGAATTAAGTTCTAAATTCGAGTTTTCGGTACAACAATTTGATTTTTTTAATTCTTCAAAAACCCGGTTTTTGAATAACTACAACTAAATCCACATACTTCAATTCATAATCTTCAATTTCAGAACTGAAAATGGAACTTGGCAATGCCTTACATTGGATAGGGAGCATGGATCACCCATAAAAGAAACAGGACTCTTTGAAGCTTGATCTAATCCCCTTAACAAAACCCAATCTTCCATTCACCCCAAATCTAGATTTGTGGTTAAGACAAGGTTTTCCCTTAGTTACACTCAGTTATACAACCACAAAAACACATGCCATTCATCAACAATGAGAAAGAAACAAGTCAAAATACATGTACCAATTCATTTTTCAGTGAATATAATGCTCTAGATTAGTTATACTGAGGGTGAATCACGTTGGTCGCCTACCCTTGTCAGGGCCACCGATAATGCCCCAGGTCTCGAATTGCCTCTGCCGAGCTCTAGCCCTCTCTTTCTCTTCTTCAGATTTCGATGAATAACAGTATGGGCAAGATACTCCATACTCCCATTCCGGAGCTTCCATGTCTGCATCACTAACTGGTTGCTTGCACCCGTAGCAAAGCTTGAAACTTCCTTGCACCAGACCATGCTCCACTGACACTCGTTTGTCAAACACAAAGCACTCACCTTCCCACATGCTCTCCGTTTTAGGAACCTCCTCCAGGTACTTCAAAATCCCACCTTCCAAGTGATAAACCTGATCAAGAATTCATCACAAATACTGAATGACAACATAAATAAGTATTTCTTAACGGGAGTATACTCGTGGACGCTTTTTCCAGGACTGGTTAAACAACCCTAACAAGGAACAAAATGTGCCTAACTATACATTCAAAGTAACTTATCAGAATGCAGATTGAAGTTGTAGGAAAAGAAAACCTCTTTGAAACCCTTGCTGAGGAGAAAACTTGAAGCTTTCTCACATCGAATTCCTCCTGTGCAATACATTGCAACCCGCTGTGGCATTTTCTCATTTGGAACTTCTGTGTCCTGATTGGTGCTTGCATCTGTGGCCTCTGCCTCAACCTTTGCATGCTCATTTTTTGTTTTGCCAAGCTGGAACTGGTCCACCACCCAGGACGGGAACTCACGGAATGCTGAAGTACATGGATCAACTGCTCCTTTGAACTTCCCAATTCTAGTTTCATAATCATTACGAACATCAATCACCACCTGAATTCAAATAATATTCATCCATTTAGAAGTTTTAATCATTATGCCTAAGTGAAAACAACCACTATGCCTTATATCATGCCAATTTACTATACATTATACACACAAATCCAGCACTCTACAGAAAACTCAAAATATGCAGCATTTGTAAATTTAACATCCAAAAGCTTTTCACTTAAACAATCTGAAGAATCCAGGCAGCAGCCAAACTTGATATTGACCTTGACTTTCTTTTTCATTTCTGATAGCCGGGAGAACCCTGTTCTTTAACTTGCCAACTTTCTATGCAAATCACACTATTATTGGTGTTCTTGCTCTGCAAAATCGCTACATGTTGGACAAAGATGAGCTGAGAAATGAGCAAACGGAAAGAGATAACTATCAATCCCACTTATACATTCCACACACGTTTTGGTGGCATAATCTGATAGTTTCTACACTCACTTCATGCTGCAAAAATGAATGATAAAGAATAATGCATACATCAACTTTGAAGTGTACATACCTACATCCAAGAACCAAGTAGATATTCCAACAAGCAACCAAATAAAACCATTAATAACAGAGGATGACAAAAAACTAAGTCCTTAAAGTCCAATAACTAAAGTTCTGTGAACCTTTAGCTGAAATGGATAAGGAAATATATTTTTCAGATCTTATTAGGATTCAGCCCTTGACTAAATTGAAAAGTTCGAGAATTTTAGTTTGACATTGCTAGAACTGTAAATCTTGTGTATTCCAACTGCAAATCTTTTTTGTATACAGTTGACACCTCCCTTACACGTTATGATGAATGGATTTTATGTTTTTATTCAGAAATATATCATCAGATCTTTTCTTGAATGGAAAAAATGATGTAATCTCAACTTTTCAAGGATATTTGAGGAAACCCAATTTAAAACCTTTCAAATTCTGCTAATAACGGTAGCAAAGAACAATCATCAATATGAAAACTATTCATTAACATTATGAGGCACCCACCGTTTCTGGATCGCCGATTAATGCATTCCAGTCCTTTGGGCTCACATACTTTCCAACCTTTTCATTTGGTGACACACTCGGCATCCCAAGAGTAACAATCTGCTCAAACATGATGAGCATAAACATAAATAAACATATGATAAGTTTGACAGATCTACTTTCATGGTCTGATTACTAGCCAGTAAAGGAAATAATTGAATTTGAATGAAAGACCTAGTGGCAACTGCATTGACTTCGCGGACAATACCTCTTTCTTCAATTTGACACGGACATGATCCCATCGGAAGGGTGCATCTTCCCCTGCTGCAAGAGGAGAACTGCTAGTGTGTCCATGGTGGATGGCCTCCTCTTCAGGAGTCACAGGTGATTCCACCTGCCTCAGTCCCTTTAGGCGGCTATCACTCTGGATAAATCCAAGTACTCTTTCCACCGATTCTGGAGTCCCACATATGCTACCATTGATCCCCTCTGGTGCAAGAATGATACCACCTGAAACACGCTGATAGGATTCTGTTAGCTGACGCACAATAACACCAAACAATGAACATAAGTTCCTCAAGTAAATACAGTAAACTTTCTACCCCTCAACAACACAGCACTCTTAATCCCTAATCCCCAATATTGGTTAAAGACATATTTTTCATTCGCTTTGAATAAGAAAAACACCTTCCAAAAAATTTAAGATCAATACTTTACTACCCAAAAGCAATTCTTTTTTCAAGTAGCTGAGAACAAAAGGAGAAGCTTGCAATTGGTGTGAGCTCCGAGCAATAAAAACAGCAATTAACAAAAGAAGATTCAAAATGAAAAACATAACTAAAAGTCACTGCGTTCTTTTCATAGACTACAAGTGAAACCATATAATTCGAATATGGAAACAACATGCCTTGAATCATAACCATAATAAACGCAATAGTAGAATAAAGATAAAGTGATAAGTACCAGTTCCTCACAAAGCTCCTTCAATGGTTTTCGCATATCAGCATGATCAGGAAAATCAGCGAACTTATAGAAGGAGACCACGACGAGAGACCCAGAAACAGAGTCGGGTTCCGGATTTCCGGACTCGGGTGCAGTCGAGATGGGCACCGTATGGGTGGTATTGCTGGAGCAGCAGTTGACGAGTGCCATGGTTTGGCGGAAAGGGTGAGGGTTTGAGAAGAGACTGAGATCACTTGAACGATGAAATGATTTGGGAATACGAGAGGTGGGTTTGCATGTGAGATTCGAGTTAGTGTTAGGGTTCCTTGAGGTAGAAGGAGATGATAGTAGCATCCTGAGCGTGAGCAATGTAGGTGATCTGCACCTCAGCATAGCCTTTTGGGGTGCCGCCCGCATACACACTCTGCTTCCTCTGTCTTCCCCGCGAGCGAGGGTTTATCTCTACGTGTGAATTGACAGTTATGTCCTCCTTTCTAAAATATTAAAAATAGTTGTTTTATTGGAAGTATTTTAAATATAAAAATCATTATATATTCAAAGAAAATAATTATATTTGATAAAAATAATTGTAAATATTAAAATAAATAATTAGTTAAAAATTTTAATAAACAAAAATAAAAATTAATTTTTTAATTTTAATAACATTTGAATACTTTATTACAAGCATAAGATTTTATTTCATTATTTAAAAATAATAATAATTCATTATCAATCATACATTTATGATATATTACAAATTTGTTAATTAATTTTTTTTTAAAATTTAATAATGTTTGAATGCTTATGTACAAACATAAGATTTTATTTCATTTTTGGTACAATATAAATATTATATGTGAAAGTGTAAACACAACTTTTACTTATACTAATTGGGTCATTAGGGATACAATTAGGAATAAAGTGAGAGATAATTATTTTTCTGCATTATTTCATAATCTTTTATATTGTTAGAAAAAAATGAGCAAATTTTTTTTCTATTTTTAAATTATTTTAAAATTCAAAATAATTTAAGCAAATAATATCATAATAAATGTCAAATTTTGGCACTAAGTTTAATAATTTGTTTTAAGTCTTATAAAAGACTTGTTTGTTAAGATAAGAACCGGTTAATTAGTACGAGCAAACATTTTTCCACAGAGGTAATTATGAATTAATATAATGATTAAAAGGCAGAAGTAAAAGGGAGGGGGGGGGGGGGGAAACAAGACGTCAGCATTACATCACAGGTGCAACGTCAGCATTGCTTTGTCAGCAATTTGGATCTTTCCTTTTCCTCCCTTTTTCTTTCTTCTAATCCCCTCTTCCCCTCTTTTCCATCCATCTTCCTCCCATTTGCTCCTCTCCTTCCTTATTCATGCCAAGAATATCATCATAAGATTACCCCCCTTATCTTCTTCTCGACTCACAATATATATTATGACTTACCTCAGCTAAGCCAACAAGATCAGTGCTTTACCCTCGCCATGGCTACTCTGCTTGAAAAACCATCTGCCCAGAAGAAAAGGGTAATACAAGAACTTGTCAAAGGCCAAGAATCTGCAAACCAGCTTCAGCTCTTGCTCCACAAGCACTTGAAAGAAGATGGATCTGTGTCAGTTGATGAATTGGTGGAGAAGATCTTGAGATCTTTTACAGAGAGTCTTTCAGTTGTGAGGTCCTGTGAGTTGGGTGAGAAGCTTCAGCAGGCAGACTCTTTTGTTCATGATTCGCCGAGGACCGAGGATTCCGGTGAGAGCAGGAAGAGTACGGCTGCCAAGGACAGGAGAGGTTGCTACAAGAGAAAGTAAGACATGATTTTGATATGGTTGAATAAGTTTTGAGGAAGATGGGTTTTAGTTTTGATCAATTAAACTCCATTAAATTTTCTTTTTACAAGATTGATTAGCATTTATGATGAGACGGGTGTTAATTATAATTTTTTGCAGGAAGAACACAAAGGCATGGACTGTAGTGTCTCCTCTCGTTGAAGATGGTCATGCTTGGAGAAAGTATGGACAAAAGGATATTCTCAATGCAAAATTTCCAAGGTAAGAATTAATGGTTTTTCGCAGCAGGAAGTTGTTGATATGGCTTAATTCTGTGAATATTCTGTTGGAAAATATATTGGAGGGAAACATTGATAGTGAAAAAGTTTTTTTTGATTTAGGCACACTTGCCAAAACACATGTTTTCTTATTTTACTTTTTACTCTCTGTGATTGTATGCATTTTGGGAATTAATTTTCAGACAGAACTGACGAATAAATCAATGAATAACATTCCTAATTCGATTGAATTTACACAGGAGTTACTTCAGGTGCACCCACAAGTACGATCAGGGTTGTAAAGCAACCAAACAAGTCCAAAGATTGGAGCACGATCCCCAACAATATCAAACCACTTATATAGGCGACCATACCTGTATTGACACTTACAAGACGCCACAAATTATGTCGGACTCAGACTCTTGGGTGTCTTATGTGGTTTCCAATTCCTCCGATTCATACACACCAAGTAGTAGTAATCAGCATCCTTTTAGCTTGTCAGGCTTGAGGCAAGAAAATAAAGCAAGCGATGAACAAGTGATTTGGAAGGATCTGATGCCTCTAAACTCGGCTGAACCTGCTGTGTATTCATGTAGTGAAGCCACCTCTACTAGTACTCATTGTTTGCCCATGGACTTTGTAGTGGATTTTGACACTGCTTTTTGTTTTGACCATTCTGGGGACTTCTTCAATGAGTAGCAGCTATGTATTTATCTTGTATTAGTTATCAGTAAATATATATATATATATATATATATAGATAGAGAGAGAGATATAGCTTGTCCCATCACGTGTAATCAGTCTACATGAGGTTCAGTAATTCAATAACAGAGTCATAGCCAATTAAGACCTTTTCGTCCTTTGCATATCATGACACACAAAACTTGATGTGGGTTTGCATCAATGCATCTTCCATGGATGGACTCATGAGATGATCATAAAAAATTCCAAATTTTTATGGATATTTTTATTAACAACTTTCTGGGTAGTGAAAAATTAAGTTGTTTATTAATGGTGTATGGTATAAACTAAGCTGTTCATGATCCACAAAACTTGATGTGGGTTTGCATCAATGGATCTCCCATGGATGGACCCATGAGATGATCATAAAAACTTCCAAATTTGTATGGGTTTTTCTATTAAACTACTATCTGGGTAGTGCAAAAGTAAGTTGTTTATTAATGGTATATGGTATAAACTAAGCTGGTCATGAAAAAGATTTGTTAAAACATGAAGAGAAAAAGGATATTTATCACCAAAATGGAGAACTACTTAATGAAATTTTAAATTAATAAAAAAAAAAGTTATGAAATTAATCAAATTGTGTGAAATTGAAAGTACATAATCAAATATCCTTGTCACGACTGGGGAGGATGCTGAGAAGGGAAAATAAATTCCATGGTATTATTCCCACCGCTGCTACCAGAATTAAACATAGCATCAGCCATGTCAACAACTCCTGCTGCATACTCCGTTTCTTTATCATATCTATGGCTGAGGCTGCTGCCACCAACGCTAACCTGGACAGACAACCATCTGTCAAGAGGTAGAGGATTAAGCGAAAGGCCACTTGTACTTGTAGTCACGACATTAGACTGATCCGTAGTAGTAATACCAGTAGTAGTAGTAGTAGCGATTATCATCTCCGTGGATGTGGTGGGCACTGCAGCAGCTGATGTGTAGCAGCTATGGCTGCCTCTATACGTGACTAGGAACATATAAGGATCATCATCAAGGCGCTGCACTTGCTTCTTGGCCGGACAGTTGTACAACTTTTGGTGGGTACACCTATAGTATGCCCTGAGTTATTTTGACAAACACCATCTTTAATTACTTCAATACTTTACTGCCATTCTTAAAATCATGATATGTGCAATTTAATTCTTGTATAAATATATGAATATGGTGTTATTTGAAGAAATATATATGGGTACCTTGGGAACCTGGAACCCAATATTTCTTTCTGCCCATATTTTCTCCAACTGAAGTTATCATCTGGGGGTATGTCAGTGTTTCCCATCCGAGGAGCAGCCACCCTTACTGTTCTTCTATCTTCTTCATCTTGCCTGCTGCACCATATGCAATGTCATTATACATATAATATATAATATTTTTTCTATATATACACGTATATTTACCGTCTTCGTGGTCTTTGTAATGATGAACAAGTAATAGGCAGCTTGCCAGAATCGGAAACCTCCATTGCCTGATTCACATTAGAATTCCTGAATGGTGTACTACTGCAACCCTGATCCAAATCTTTTCTGCACATAATTTGATCAGACACCTCTCCAGCCTTCCCGCCTAAAAGCTTCGTCTCACCTGATCTTATCACCCACTCCTGCAAGCTGGCATCTATATTCTGCATTGCCACCCGTTGAGATGACGACTCGTGACTCGTTACAAGCCTTTCTTTAGCCTCCACAAAGATGGTGATGATCTCCTCCAGAGAACTGGAAAGAAGATGTGGAGGCTGGTTGGCCAAGTAATTTGGCAGGTTTAATTCAAGCTCTTTTACTTTCTTCAACCCATGAAATATCAAAGAAATGGTCTCCTCCATGATTGCTTTCCTATATTTTCTTCCCTCTGTTTTTGTTTAACTAGCTAGCCCACATGAACATATGGTATATAAATATAAATATATATATAAATATAAATATATATACATAGTGCTGATTGTGGTCCTTGATTGATTGGGGAGAAAGAGGGAAGGAAAATTCTTGAAGGCAAGTGAATTTATGTTTGTTTTACACGATTGATTAAGAGAAGAAGACCGAGTCGGGGTCTTCTGTAATGAGATCAACTAGACTTTTTATTGTGGGTAAAGAGTCTAGACGAAGACCTTTTGCCTCAATGAAACCAACATTTGGACTTTGAAGAGAAATTTCTGCTGAGACCCCGTTTGGTGGAGAAATTGTCTTCCAAATTTAATTTATATATCATGGCAATTCCCTCCTTCCACCCCCCTCTCTTAGGTCATCACCATTTGATACGGATCATCGCCATTGCTTTCCTGGTCAAGATTCTTGGTTTTGTTGGGCCTTGACGACGACGTTTCTTTAAAATAAGAAATTATCAGCCCAACAAAGGAGGCCCATAAGGCCCAATATAGTAACGAAACGACGTCGTCATGGCTCAGCCCACACAATTATAGCCCAGCCTATTTTAAACAAGAACACATTTGTTCCCTACTCTTGCATGCACCTAATAAATTCAAGTTCATTCTCGTTTCCTTTTCTTTTCTTTTTTTTTTTTTAAAAAAAAAAAAATTCTCTCTCTCTCTCTCTCTTACTGCTCAACAGATCGAATCATATTTTCCTACACCATCGTCTTCTTCTTCTTCTTCTCCTCTGTGTCTCTGCTTCTTCAATTCCCTCGTGACTCCAAGGCTGAGCCTAGTATTTATAGACAAACAAAAACCAGTTGGAGGACGAAGAAAATACAAGCGGAAGACATAAAGGGGAAGATGCTCAAGTTCTTAAAGGGAGTAGTGGCTGGATCTGGTACGGGGCTCAAGGATCTACCTTACAACATGGGCGATCCTTATCCCTCCGCTTGGGGCTCCTGGTCTCATTTCCGCGGCACCTCCAAGGTAACGGCTATAATCTCTCTCTCTTCAGTCTTCCCTTTCATTGTCAGTTTTACTCTTCTCCTCGCCCATGATTTCTTCTGTTTCGCTTCCTTTTTCTTCGCTTATTGACAATTGCACTGCTTCTCTGCCTTATTACCTTACTCTTTCGATTTTAGAAAAATTTTTAATTCTTAGACATGATGTGATGCTGAGGTGATGATGAGTTGATAGTCACTCATAGGCTAAAATTTTAGCATTTCTTTGCGGATGTGGTGCTGTTTCATGACTAATTATGTAACTGATACTCTCTTACCATACTTTCAACTATTTAGGAACTTAGCAACCTGTTATTTAGCTGCCTATAACCAATACGTATTCTTGGATCTTACTCGTCCATTTCGAAACTACGTTCATATTTGAATTTTTGTGCTTCACAGTAATAAAATCAATCTGATAAGCTTCTTTCGCTAAATTCATTCCAAGTCATGTCCTTTTCTAATTAACATATGTGTCATTATTAGGCAAACTCACATTGTCATTATGATTGAATTCTTTGCTTGCAATTAGGCCATTGCTTTCATCAACTTTAGAAAACTCTTTTTTTTTTTTTCTTTTTTCTTTCTAATCAACCTTTCTACAGAAATGTTATGACATTATGTTCGTATTTACTATTCTGCTTTTGTTCTATCATTGTTCTTCTACAAGGAAGATGGTCTGCCTCTAATTTTTGGCCTTGTTTTCAGGATGATGGATCTCCAGTGTCAATATTTTCACTTTCTGGGAGCAATCCCCAGGATGGGCATTTAGCTGCAGGTCGTAATGGTGTCAAGCGTCTCCGTACTGTAAGTTATCATGACTTGTTATTTGTATTGCCGGTTCATATGAATGACAAACTCTTCCATCTGAATTATGAACTGTAAACAGGCTTCCTCTGTTACATTAAAATTATTTTGGTTTCTTTTCATTTAGCATAAAAAGTAGGTTTTGTCCTTTTTCAGGTGAGGCATCCAAATATTCTGTCATTTCTTCACAGCACCGAGGTTGAAACTTTTGATGGTTCTTCTCCGAAGGTCACTATCTATATTGTCACTGAGCCTGTTATGCCTTTGTCCGAAAAGATCAAGGAACTAGGTTTAGAAGGGACTCAAAGGTATAACCATTGTTTACTGGTACGTTTATAGTGGTGGTATTGCATGTTTTAGTGGGATCGCATGGAATATAATTTCACCCGGAAGATGTTTTGGTACCTTGATTACTATGTCAATTACAATGATATTTTTCGTTAACAAAATTACAATGCTTTTTGAGATTCAGGACTGTTCTTTTATTATTGTTTTTTGGGATGGTAAGATTCAGGTCTATTTTTGACTGGGTATTTTGCTTTCACCTGATCAGAGACTCGGAAATCTACTTCATGCTTTGTGGCATTTAATTATTTCTAACAATTTGGCCTTCATAATTTGCCTGGAATTGTCATTGAACTTCTTGGCTTCCTGATGTTATTCACATATAAAGTATTGAATTTAGTTATCACTGGTAAGTGGAATTGAGTCTGTTTTGACTGGCTATTCTTTCATTTGCTGCCAGAGATGAATACTATGCTTTGGGTCTGCACCAGATAGCTAAAGCTGTTAGCTTTTTGAACAATGATTGTAAACTTGTAAGTAAAATCTGCAATAATCTTTAGCTGTTTAATTAGTTCATTTTGGACTGCATTATGATGATTTGTAATTTTGCAACTGTTCTATCTTTCAAGTGCATAAGATTTTATTGTTAGTAATTACTATAAACTTTCACTGACTTTACATTCTTTGACCTCGCTCTGCATGCTTAAATTAAAGCCTTCTTATGGGTGTTCTTAAAATTTTAATTATTCATTTATCAGATATTAAATATTTTCAATTTGGATCATGTTCAACAATGCGTGTCAAGAGGACTGCCTTTTGTCTTTAGTCTTCAACTATGTTTAATAATAATTGTTACTGTGAATCAGTTCTAAATCAGGTTTTCTTTATATTTGAGTTGGAGATCTCCGTAAATACTTGCATCATTATCTAAATTATTATTTCGGAACTTGTACTGTCCATTTTAATCTTTTTTTTCTTTCTTGTCGTGTACATGTATATGGTATTGCATATTTATATAATGTGTATAAATAGGATTGCAGGATATGTAGGTTAAAATACATGTTTATATCTTAATTTTTTCCTTAATATATATACACGCATGCGAACTTGTGTGCAGTTCATATATGTATTTATGTATTTATGTATGTGTTACCTCCATTATCATTGTTTGACTAGCCTCATTTACTACAGGTTCATGGGAATGTCTGCTTGTCAAGTGTTGTTGTCACACCAACTTTGGACTGGAAGCTGCATGCTTTTGATGTCCTATCAGAGTTTGATGGACATAATCCAGCTGCTAGTGGACCTATGCTGGTAATCTGAATATTTTTGTATTAGCTAATATGGTAGCTTCTTTTCACCTCAGAATGACATGGTTTTTGTAATTGGGATTTTTCTTTTTCTTTTTCTTTTTCATATAAATTGTTATTGAAATCCTCAAACTCAGACAGATATCTGAGGGGAACATAGAAAATCCTTAAGGAAATTGAGTATATAGCTGGTGCTGGGTTAAAATAAATTAAATAACTGTTTTCTCCATGTAAGTTAGCAGATCTCTCTACCAAAAATAGGGTTGAATAATGAGGATTCATGGAACCTGCAGCCTGTGATATCTAAAATGGGGCTTTCATGCTTTATTATTCACTAAATCTTTCATTCATTATTATTCAAAAAAAAAAGTAAATTTCCTGAACTATTGCTTGCTTTGCTTTACTGACTGATGTGTCAGGGTTCATTATTACAGAGTTTATTGCAAGTCAATGGACTTTTTGGCTTTTCATATTTTATTTAATTTTTTTGTTCATCAGCAATATGAATGGCTTATTGGATCACAATACAAGCCAATGGAAATGCTAAAGTCTGACTGGGCTGCAATCAGAAAGTCTCCACCTTGGGCCATTGATTCATGGGGCTTGGGTAAGATTGTTGCTCCTTTAATGGTACAGTGGTTGTGCATGTAACATATTGGAAACTGTCCAGATGTTAGCAACCATAAGCTTGGGGCATTTATGTATTCTGTTATATCAATTTTAATTCCTGCATGTTTCTTACATGTGAATTGATCCATCTACCATTCATGCTTGTGAAAACTTTCTCATTCATGCATTTATTTTCAGGTGATTTGGATTAGTAAATTATCTCTTTTATGCTGCATTTTCAGCACCATCTACCAGTTTCAGATGTTATCATCCTGGTGCTTTGGGTTATTTACTTGGCGATGAAAAACCCTTTCACAATAGAATGATTCATTCATTTTTCTAATGGGTTGTTGCCAGGGTGTCTTATTTATGAACTCTTCTCAGCTTTAAAGTTGAGCAAAACAGAGGAACTGCGTAACACTGCTTCCATTCCGAAGGTTTGTCTTTTCTTTTTAGGGTCAAGTCCGGAATTATGGTCCTGGAGTCTAATCCTTTCTATATTTGATTCTCTTTCTCTCTCTCTCTCTCTCTATATATATATATATATATCCTACCAAACCGCAGGCACTGATAATTTGAAACTTGATGTGGTTGATTTGTTATTGTGTCATTCTGCCAAAAATACTGAGCTGCATTTTCATTCATAATTGTTCTCTAGGATTTTAATTTCTTTAAATTAACGTTGGTTTCATCTGTCTATTTTCTTGTGTCACAGTCTTTACTTCCAGATTATCAGCGTCTTTTGAGTTCCATGCCTACTCGCAGATTGAATACATCAAAGCTTCTGGAAAACAGTGGTAAGGTTTCCATTGTTTTAGGCCTGTAATCAGCCTTTCGCAAATTTTAACATATTCAAGAGTACAGCATATAGTCTGCTTGGTTAAGGGGATTTTGTCTCCATTTGCTATTCTGGTCTTATCCTCTGGGAGCTGATTTGGACTGTATTTAATCGTACTGGTACTAATCTTGTAAGAACTTTGGTTATTCTGCAATTCTTGGTGACTGCCATTTGAAATTGTTGAAGTAGATTGAATGTGGTAATATAAACCAGCGTCAAACATTAATAGATCTTCCTACGTTATTTTTTGCAAAGTAAAGAAGCCTCACATGTTAACAGAAGAGAAATTCACGTATTCTTTATGCCCCCATGTCTAGTGAAGGGAGTCATGATTCTAGTTATAGGTGATCTCATTGGATAGATACATTTCATTTATCAGATATGGTGAAGGCACATAGACATGGTAGTACTTTACTATTTAAGAATTATTTTAGTTAAGTTATTTTTATTTTCCCCAGTTTTTTTATTTTCTTTTCATATCTTTATTAAGAATAGTATTAATAAACTTATCAGCATGAGTATTTTTTTTTTCTCCAATTCTATTCATGAAAAGATTACTTGGCACTCTATAAATAATTTTCTAATCTCCTTTCAGATCATCATTTACTTCTTCAATAAAGTACGTTAGTGATTTCTCGATACTTCATTGTGTGATTCAATCAGATTTTAGGCATCACACTTAAGAACCATAGATTTAGTTCTAGGTTTTTTCTTATGTACTAAGTAGGCAAGTTAGCTCTATTTTGTCCTATATTAGTTGGTATCAAAACTGAAAAAATCCTACACCAAACCCTCCAACCTGCATCCATATAGTCTCAAATTTGTCTGCCAAGAAACAAACTTCAAAAATCATAAAATAAAAAAGGTGTAATTTGTTCTACTCAATTGGTATCGGTTGGTCCCAACTTGTCCGACAGCCACAGATCTACTCACTCCAAATAGCTGCCAGTCTGCTTGCTAGTCATTGCTATGTAGTGAGTGACACTGCACCTACCACCCCTTGATCGGCTAAACCTCGAAGCCTCACTGCAAAATATTGTTGGAAATGCACCACTTATTGTTGCAAGTTCTCCCAACTGCTGCCTTTCTTGATCTCGTCCTTCTTTCGCAACTATGTCTCACTCCAACCTCTGTTCTACAACCCCCATCTCCAGTCAAGTCGACCGGTAGAAGCCCATTGTCAAATGTTTGGTCCAGTTTGCGATCCAGACCAGACTAGATTGAAATTGATCAGATTACAAAAAGGAAAAATATCAGCTTTTTCTGAAAAAAAAAATTGAAAAAAAAAAAGAAAGTTAGTACCATAATTTTGGAAAAAAATGAAATTCAGTCCTACCTAAATTATAACAATCCAATCTTTGGTCTGGATCCCCTCCCTGATTCAGTCCATCTGATGGACATCCCTACTTATCGTGCTCAATGTGTTACAAGGCATGACCTGTAGTTGTGGATTTGCCACTAAACCATATTTCCCCTTTACAATGGATGGCCACCTTAGAGTGGAACAAATCAAACAGTCCGGCTGTAGTAATTTATCCAATTCACTCCTAAAATCATGTCATAGCACCCAATTCGATGATTCTAAAATTGTATCCAGATTATGATTTTGTGTACTCGAAAATAGTCCCACACATCATAAATCTTGTATAAGATCTTAGGCTTTTCCCAAATTTCTAAGTAGGCAAATTAATCCTAACTTGTCCAACATCATATAGCTTGTGTAATGTTGGTGTTTACTTAAGTGCTCCTATACGTTCAAGTTTGGATGCGTTTGTTTTGTTCTTCCCCTTCATTTTCTTTTTCTTATTGTGAAGAACAAATTGAAGTATTATTATGTTATTGCTCTTATTATAATAACATTGGCATTGCTCTTATAACAATGAAGAAATAGTAAGTTAGTTTTTTTTTTTTAAAATAAAGAAGAAATAGTAAATTAGTATTCATGAAAATCTCTATTATAAGATAAGAAATTAACATTTAAAGTTAAAGTTCCAATTGCATGCAACATGAATGAGAACATAATACAAATATGATATAAATTAAGTAAAATTAACATTTTAATTATAAGTTAATTCCATGCCCAATTTGAGTTAAATGTGTTGTAGTAGAATAAAAAATTCATGGTTATAAAATTGAAGGATATAAGTAAAGTTGACTTGAGGGCAAGTTGCCATTTTAGTGTTTGAACTATTTATCTTGTTACAATTACATTTGAAAAGTTTTTTAGCACAGTTTGATCACTAAATTTTACGAAAATTGTTTGAATTCATCATCATTTTATTTAACTGTTGACAAAAATGACAAAAATTCTTTTTTGTTTTACCCATATTTTGGATTCTATAGAGTTCAAAAATTATAAAAACTAAAGATTAACATTCGTAAACTTAACAAAAAAATTTATTTTATTTTATTAAAGTTATGCAAATGATAATAACACACATTGGGAAAGAAGAGGCCTCTGATCGCCATTTTTTGATTTTTTGGTTTTAATTCTTAACACTAAATAAACAAATTATATTTTTGAAATCATTTTATATGTCACATAAATAAGAGGAAAAAAAATTGTTTTATTTTCTAGTAAAGAGTGCATTAAAAAATTATGTGTCGAAATAAATTTATAAGTTTAAGGATCAAATTATAACAAAAAAGGGAACTGAATTGTAACATAACCTATAGTTCAGGGGCTAGATTTTCAATTTGGCATTAATTTAATTATATATCTGATATGTAAATCATAGCTAACTTTATATATTTATATATTAAGTAAATAAGATCTAAGAATGCAATGAGAATAAAATAGTTTGAACCAAACACAACGTAAGAGTAGCAAACTAACTATATAGGAAATATCCTCTTGTTCTCTAATACTTGTGTTTTCATCAAAGCTACTTTATTTTCCCCGGCATCGTTTCTTTCCCTTGCATCTCTAGATTTAACTACTCTTTGGTTGGCAGAATACTTCCAAAATAAGTTGGTGGATACCATACATTTCATGGAGATTCTTAACTTGAAGGACAGTGTTGAGAAGGATACCTTCTTCCGCAAGCTTCCAAATTTAGCAGAGCAGCTTCCTCGACAAATTGTGCTGAAAAAGGTCTGGGTTTTGAAATTCTAGTGAGATATATTGGTGAAACTGTAGTCTATTTTTTTGAATGCCAGTTCTTAATTTTATTTTCTGGTTTTACAGTTACTTCCTTTATTAGCTTCTGGCCTTGAATTTGGTTCAGCTGCTGCCCCTGCCTTGACAGCACTGTTGAAAATGGGTTCTTGGTTGTCGGCTGAAGACTTTAGTGTCAAGGTCTTATTCTAACAAGTATCTTTTGCTGTCACCTTTTTCCTTCAGTCTTCATAAAGCATTTGGCTGTTTTCTATTCATTTGGTACTACTACTGTTTAATGGGTACGTTTCTTGCTATTATCTGTAGGTACTGCCAACAATAGTGAAACTTTTTGCTTCTAATGATCGAGCAATTCGAGTTGGTCTCCTACAACATATTGATCAATATGGAGAGTCATTATCAGGACAAGTTGTAGATGAGCAAGTAAGCAGTCAGCATGAGATGATCTATAAGCATTTCTCTATGATCAGATAAAAGTTATCTTGCTTCTGTCTGGGTGGAAGTCCCAATAATAATTGTAATTCTAACCACCTATTTGGATTACGTGTGAGTAGGTTTACCCTCATGTTGCCACTGGATTTTCAGACACATCTGCTTTTCTGCGGGAATTGACTCTTAAATCCATGCTTGTATTGGCTCCTAAGGTATCTGTCTCTTGTTTTCTAGTATCAGTGTGTATTTTTATCAGTTGCTATATATGTATATATATTTAATTCTTGGAGCAATGTGATGATATCCTGTAAATTCAAGTGGGGACAATTATAAATCTTCCATTAAACTTTAGAAAAGATAGTATTATATTCAAGATGAATTCAGGTATAATCAGTTACTCCTTTCCCTCCAATCATTGTGCCATAGTTTTATCTTTCCTGCTTTGTTATCATGAATTTTCAACTCTATACTTGGAAGATGGTTGAATGTGGTTTCCAGTGATATCTGAGTGCTGTTGTTTGATTGACTTTGCAGCTTTCTCAACGAACTATTTCAGGATCATTATTAAAATATCTCTCCAAGTTACAGGTATGAAGTCCTTGATTTGCTGATGGATCCGGATTCTATTTGCCCTTGATTTCTGAATGCGATGTTTCTTGGCTGATATTTAGATTCACATTTTGTTCATTGCTTATTCTTCTTCTTTATTCCGTCAACATGTGATTGAGGATTAAGGCTCTTTGTTTATGTGGTGATGGTTTCACATTATGCAGGTGGATGAAGAGCCTGCAATCAGAACCAATACCACAATATTACTCGGAAATATTGCTAGCCACCTAAATGAAGGGGTTAGTATCTGCAATAACTACTTTGTGATTCTTGAATATCCTGACTGTCTTCATATTTTGTTTGAACAGCTGGTATCCTCTGTGATAATCATCATGGCTATCAGATTCATTGTCATCTCAAGACTTTCATCTGATACCTTTGAATTTACATTGCAGATGAGGAAAAGAGTTTTGATTAATGCATTTACAGTCCGTGCATTGCGTGACACTTTCTCCCCAGCACGAGGAGCTGGTATAGGAAATTCATATTTCTGATCCAAATGTATCAATCATCTATTCTTATAAAGCTTTGGTTTTAGGTATCACCTTCTTCATGTAGAACTATTTTATGGCAGGAATTATGGCTTTATGTGCCACCAGTTCTTATTATGACACAACAGAGATTGCAACTCGGATTCTTCCTAATGTTGTTATACTCACCATCGATCCTGACAGGTTGTAAATATTTTTTGGATGATTTATTCTTTTTGCAAATGTTTTCCCTTGTTAAAGATGAATAAAGATTCTAATTTTCAGTTCTTTGAAACAGCGATGTCCGAGCAAAAGCATTTCAAGCAGTTGAACAATTTTTGCAAATAGTGAAACAGAGCCATGAGAAGGTAACTTCAAATTCCTAGTACAAGTATCTTCGTGATGAATTCTCTAAATATCTCATTGGCAAAAAAACTCTTATTTGCATTGGATAGGAGTCTCTTGCATAAAAAATTACTTCAATTTTCCTGTCACATGGCTGTGTTCGTGTTAAAACATCAAATGTTTGCTGTCTTGATGCGTCTGCACCATATTGTGCCATATTGATACTTTTTCTCTGTGGTGCTTTCTAGACAAATGATGGAGATATTAGCGGTGCTGCAGCAGGAATCTCGTCTATGCCAGGAAATGCCAGTTTGCTTGGGTAAGTTGATTTGGAATTTTAATCTTATATGGGCCAAGGTCATATTCCTGTATAATTACATTGAAGCACAGGCCTATGGACCACATAATTTTACTACTTCTCTGCGAAGGAAATCATATTAGGTATAGGATAAATTACATAAGATCTTTAAGGTCTGTTTGTAATCATAATTGAATCCATTATGTTTCATAAAAGATACCAACTTTGTCCTTGTATAGAAACATATATGGCAGTTCAATTAAATAGTTTCTTGATAGACACTAAACGGTAGTTTAATAAGTGCCAAGTGACAATCATGTGACTTTCAAACTATTAAAAGCAGCAACATAATAAATGATTCTTTTTAAGAAAATTCAAAAAAAAAAAATTTTAGGGTTTTGTTTACATTGTAAATATGAAGCAACATGGAGAGTATAAGTGAAACACAAAGTATTTAGAAGAGCCTCTTGTAGTTCTTTTTTTTTTTTTTTTTGAAATTTCTGCAATGGTAGAACAGCAGGAGTAAGTTGTTGCTTCTAAAAATGGAGGCTAACTCCTTGTCAGTGGCATCTTCACTGGATAATGTTTTGATATGGATGCTGCGTCATAATTACCATGCAGATGGGCCATGAGTTCCTTGACCCTGAAAGGTAAATCTTCGGAACAAGCTTCACTTGCTTCTGCAGTTACAGCCACACTCTACTTCCACAACCTCTGATTCAAGCTCCAGTAAGCTTCTTGCTCTCATTTCTTGTTTATAATTTTCAGATTGTTTGAAACTTCATCTACTTTGTATTTTATGAAGACTTATCTTCCTATCCGATCATGTCAATTCGATATTCTTGACTTAGTGGAAGGATCAAATAAAAAATTCTTTAGAATGTTTAGAAATCAATTTTCTGAACTGATTTGTGTTTATTAGATTAAGGAAAAGAAAATTCCTTTTTAGCAATTATCATCCACTAATTTGTTGCTTCAGAACATTTTAATAATATCAATCTGCCATGTACTATAAGAACTTGTCTTTCTATCCACATCTTGTCAATTTGGATATTCAATGTACTTAGTGGAATGATCAAATAAAAAAAACCTATAATGTTGGAAATGGAATATCTGGACTTTCAAATATGTTCATGAGATAAGGAAAAGAAAATATGTCTGATCAACTATCATTCAGTTCCGAGTTTGTTGCTTCAGATCATTTGTACAAAAGAAACGTTATGTCCATAACTTTGTTTAGTTGATGCAACAATATTATTGTGAGTTGTCCTGGAGATGAAAATACACTTGACTCTTCTTGAAGATGTGAACAATTCCTGGCCCTCTTGCCAGATAATTACAATGCCTTACTTGATGAGGCTAGCCAATTTAGTTGCTAACATTGGATTCTGTGACAATCCTAGTAATGGAGACTCCAAATAGAACACCTATTCATGTAAGTACAAGCATAGACTTGGATGATCAACCTGCACCTTCGTCTCCTACTTCAACGGATGGCTGGGGAGAAATTGAAAATGGCATTCATGAAGATCATGGAAGTGATGAAAAAGATGGATGGGATGATCTCGAGCCCCTTGAAGAGCCAAAGCCATCTCCAGCTCTTGCTAACATTCATGCTGCTCAGAAACGGCCTGTCTCACTTCCTGTATCACAGTCAAGAACGCAAGGTAATAATATTCAGTTGACTTGTAGCAACTAATTCTATTAGATTTTGTGTGTATGAAGATTTTCATTTGAATATCGGGTACACTTCCCGGTTCATACTTCATACTTCCTCATATATGAAGGAATTGAACATTTTCATTTTGTGCAATTGCTTCCTCATATCACGTCAGTTAAATTACTATCACTCTTTTTTTTTTTCGGTTATTTTCCCCTTAGCTACAAGTCTGCGACCAAAGAATACAGTGAAGGTGACCAAAAATGAGGATGATGATTTATGGGGATCAATAGCTGCACCTGCTCCAACAACCACATCAAGACCTTTAAATGTGAAAACAGCAGGAACTGAGGAAGATGATGACCCTTGGGCAGCCATTGCTGCTCCTCCACCTACTACTAGAGCCAAACCTTTAGCTGCTGGCAGAGGCCGAGGAGCTAAACCTGCTGCTCCAAGATTGGGTGCACAACGAATAAACCGGGCAAACTCATCTGGGATGTGAAATTCAACAATATAATAACAAAAGAAGCAAGAACAAAGTTCTGTACATCTTTTTTCTCCTCCGGGTGACTGGGTTTAACATACAAGTGCAGTGAGAAATCCGTGTCACCCTCAGTTGTATCCGCTACTTGTTAACATATTACTCGATTTGTAATACCATCATTCTTTCGATGCCAAGGTGTTGTTTCTTTGATTTTGCTATTCATATTCAGTTTTCAGTACATATCAAATAGAGTATGTAGTTGAACAAGCAAACATTAGAGCTTGTAAACAATAATTGATATGGTGTTTGTATGTTATATAAATTGATGATAAATTTTGTCCCAGCAATTCTTTATTTGCCAAAGTGTCGAGAATTGTGATCTTCTATTCTGTAAATTTATTTTGAGAAAAAGAAAAAAAAAAGGATAAATTGATATTTTACTCTATATTTTTAGACTTAAAATGCTACCAAAAATGTCAATCCTAAACAAAATTTACATTTTCTAAAGAATCGTTTGCTCTATATAAACTTTTATAGAATCCTTTTGAGTTCATTTGAAATTTATGGATTTTATAATGAAAGTTTATGTAAATAATTTTCAAAAATTCAACTACAGATTTAGAATTTTTAACCCTTTATTTACCGGATGATTTATCAGCAAACCAGAAAGTGGAAGGAAAAAACAGAGCATCAGGTCCCCTCTCTCTTTCAGCTCAATCAAATTCCTGCATGAAATAACATGTTGCATCTCCCTATCAAGCATTCATAACGTGAGCATTTGACTGTATACTCTTTACTTTATCAAAGTGTAATTCTTTAAATTCGGTCAAAACAAATCTCACTCTTGCATGCACAGAATGAGCGAATACATGTCGTTATATGTATTCTTCATCATTCCTCTTCCTGCATTTGACTCTTCCAATTCACACCACTGGATGCGAAAAGATAGATTTGGAGAGTTGGAAGTACATACATTTTGCTCCTTACCCAGACGGGATTTTTCGTTCTCTATACGCCTATAAGACGGTTATAATCATATGTTATATAATCCTGTTTTTGAGCTGCTTTTCATTTACTCAAGTGGGTGCTTCGATCCATGAATACAAAAACGAGAAATTCGTTCATCGTTCCAATTCCTTCTTCTTCCATGGCGGCAATGAGGGCCTCTACGCCTCCAGGGTCCGCGTTGATACCTCCAACGCCACTTCTGCTGAGGCAAGCCCCTCACTGGCAAGTCTTTCATCAGGTATAAATCTGCCTTCCTGCTCTGCGTCTTTCTATCAATGTTCATGTTTGATCTGTTTGTCTTCCGGTAAATTTTGTGGGTTCCATATTTTTCCCTGACCCTAGTGATTTTATTGTGATCGCGTTCTTGCTTCACTGATAAAAAGTGGAAATGCATGATAGTTAATAAAGACGCGAATTTTTTGTGAAAAGATCAAGATTGTCATTCAAATAAATAAATAGCATGGCATAAATAAGAAAAACCAAGAATAGACAAAAGGTCTCTATTTCACTTCTCTGGGTTTTGGTGGTTTTTCTTTTTCAGCTTGCTTCGATTTTTTTTTTTTTTAGCTGTGGAGATTTTACTAATTTATTTATTTGGTTAAGAAACAATCATCTATGGATACTTTGCACGGACTCTTGTCCTTTGTTGTAAATTTCTTGGCTGCTGACGCTTTCCTTACTTGTCATGGTGGACCACTTCCCCTTTTTGTTTATTGAAAGCATTTTCGTGGTGGTGATGATGATATAAGATTGTGCTGAGCTAAAGGCAAAAGAAACATGATATTAGTGGTTCTTCTTCTAAGAGTCTTGAAACTAATGATAATGGTTAATCTGTCAGTCATTACAGGCATGTGCACTGGTGTTATGACTTGTGAGCTCCATCTACTTAACCAGGAGACCTTGTTAATTGCCTACAAACTTCTTTTATCCGTCTTTATTTATCATACCTTTTGAACACTCTTATATCTGATTTCAGTATTGGTCTCTCCATATCTTTCTAATATAAGGATTATCCAGGTGCCTTTTATTGTTAAGTGCTAAGAAGTATGAGCACTTTTAGTTTTATTCTTTATTAGTTTATTCATGTTTACATATTTCCGTGCAATGTGAATCCATTAATCATAAGTAAATTATTGTACTTTGGAAATCTAGGTAATTTGAACCTACTTTATGCAGCAACGTGAAGGATCTATTATGTATAATAAATTTATAGCGTCAGAACATATGTAAAATTATGGAAGGCATTTACTTCTCATATAAAGGTGAAAAAGTTGTAAGTTTCTTATATGTTCTATGCTATTTGTATTTTTAGATTTGAGTCAATTATCTTTAGAAGAACAAAAGAGTCTGCTGAAAAAACAAATGAGATGCAGCAGAAAACTGGACTGGTTGAAGCATTAATAGTTGAGGTCAAAGACAGGGAGAAAATTGGTGGTGCTTATTTGAAATCCGATGCCATATGCTGTGCTCCTGAACTTTCAAGAAATGGATCCTGCAAGGTAGGGAAAGCGATTATCCGCCATGATCCAGATAAACCCAATGGACCACAACGGATTCAGACTTTCTTTGAAGGAAGAGATGAAGAGGCCAAAATGGTTCTTCAGACTGTTGAGATCAATCGTACTGGAATGTATTATCTTTATTTTATGTTTTGTGATCCACAACTCAGGGGCATGCGAATTAGTGGAAGGACTGTCTGGAGAAACCCAGATGGTTATCGTCCTGGTAAAATGGCACCACTGATGACATCTTATGGCTTAATATCGCTGGCATACCTTTTTCTTGGTCTCTTCTGGTTCATATGGTTCGTAAAATACTGGAAAGATATAATACAACTGCACTACTGCATCACAGGAGTTATTGGTCTGGGAATGTGTGAAATGGCTCTCTGGTACTTTGAATATGCCAATTTCAATTCAACAGGAAGTAGACCAATGGGAATCACCCTCTGGGCTGTTATGTTTAGTGCTGTTAAGAAAACTGTCTCCTGTCTACTCCTTTTGGCGGTTTCAATGGGCTATGGTGTTTTACACCCAACCCTTGGTGGTATTACATCAAAAGTACTCCATCTTGGAGTGACATATTTTCTATTTGCTGAGGCACTTGGGCTTGTTGAGAATTTGGGAAATATCAATGATTCTTCTGGAAAAGCCAGATTGTTGCTAGTGCTGCCTATTTCTTTACTGGATGCTTGCTTTATCGTGTGGATCTTCTCTTCATTATCTCAAAACCTGGAGAAACTTCAGGTATCCACAGTTCTATGATCACCTCTTCCATCCTATCATGTCAAAGATGGACGTTGTCTTAAAGAGTACATTTCAGTGTGCATATCACATTTATAAGCGCTAGGAATTTTACCCAAAAAGAATAGTGAGAGTTGGCAGTGGTATGGTTTCATCAGACATGCCATGAGTGTCCATTACATAGTCTTGTTAATTTTGATAAGGCCCATTAGCTGTACAAGTGATCTTGATCAAGATTCTTGGTAAGAAATACATTTTGTTATTTGTTTCACAAGGGGCATCCATTATTTGGCAAGATCTATACTCTTGTGAATGCTTCCAGCACATCTCGTAGATGAAATCATCCATAGCTATGTATTCCTGAATCTAGCAAATTATATCTGTATTTCGGTTTATGCAACTTTCTGATTGTACTTGCACTATTTGAAATTGTGTGTGTCACCTTCTTCTTTTTGGATAGATTAGAAGAAGCATGGCCAAGTTTGCACTCTACCGGAAGTTCACGAATGCTCTTGCAATATCAGTGCTGCTCTCTGTTGCTTAGATTGGCTATGAGGTTTTTCAATATTTTTACTTCCTTTTCTGAATTATTTTTCCTTTTAATTACATGCTTAGTACTTGCAATAAAGCTCATATGTTAGTTTTCTTTTTTGCTCAGTTATACTTTAATGCGGCTGACCCTTTGAGTGAGCTATGGCAAAGAGGATGGGGAATTCCAGCTTTCTGGAATTTGTTTTCTTTTGTACTCCTGGTGTTGATATGCATTCTATGGGCTCCAACCAGTCACCCAACTAGGTACCTGCTGGAACCTTGCCTTACAATTTTCATTGATTATTTTTTTTTTCCAGGTGTCTGTCCGTGAGATTTGCCTTGTTTGGTATATATTTCTTATATTACCTATAGGTTCTTGTTCACACTTCTAAACTTTTGATCAGCAATCAGAAACAGATTATCTGACCATCTTAGAGAACCTTATAGAAGGAAAAGTGATGTATGTATGAAAATCTTATCGTGGATATATATCTTGATTATCAACCTGTTATTCTTGGTGGTATCACCTTCAATTAGATGTACTTTAAATGGACATTTACCAATTTTAAATGATCTATAACTGTGTGATTGAAAGCTTTGAACAAATTATTAAGTACATCTTTGACAAATCTATCTGATCCATGGATGCTCCAATTATTGTTGCTTGCTTGTTTTATCAAGGTGGGATTTCCTTAATGATTTTTGGTATGACCATGCTCCCAAGTAAAACTGTCCAAGTCAAACTGTGCACAGAACCCACCCCACCAAGGTTTTTAAGTTGTTTACTGATTAGACATTTGCAGAAAGAATTTGTTGAAAAGTGGTAGCTAATGTTGAATTCAGATTGCCAAACATGTCATTTTTCTCTCTTGAACATCAACTAAGGTTTGAAATTTTGGTTTCACGGTCTAACCTAGTGCAATGTCTGCGGTCAAGTATGACTACCTTAATCGATTTTTCCACTCTAATCATCCATTCTCAAAAAGCCTAAGCTTAAATTATTAATAGTGAAATCTTTTTTATGTGTGATTAAAGTGTCTTAATCTCCATTTCTCAAATCATTAATATCTTTGTCAATGACATGTACCAAAAACATAAACCACCGGTCAAAGGTTCACAAATTCGAAATAGTACCAAGATGGAGTTAGGTACAAGATTTGTCAAAGACTCGTAGGTCCAAGATGGTACCAATATTGAGTCACAGGCAGACACGAGCTTTGGTACAATTTGCAATGTCATGGACTTGTACCCACTAATTTAACAATTTTTGAGGTCAAACCATTAATATTTAAAACTTCAAGTTCAAATTATTGCAAATCATTATATAAATTCAACACTTACGTGTCTTTTTGATATAGGATTGAGGTACCACAACTGGAACCAGTTTTCACAAGTATGGGTTTTTTCTGACTTGTGTAATTTAGCTAGTCAAGTCTGGTTTTGGAGGATTATTTGTGTAATTTAGAACCAATTCCTGCTTTCTTTTTTTGTTCCCATATGACAATTGATCTTATATGTGCCTGTATTACAGGTACGAATATTCAGAGGATACTGGAGAAGACCTGGAAGAGAATATCTCACTTGCTAGCAGTGTAGTAACGGTTGCTGGAGATTCTGCTACTGAGCTGGAAAGAAAGGAAAGGAAGATGTCCAGTGTATCAGATCTTCATGTATTCGGGCTTGGGGAAGGTCTTGAAGAGGACAAGAGAGAATGATGGCTCATTTTTCCTTCATGAAGTCAACTGAATGCAACAACCGTTATGCAGAGCCAAGAATCATGTCTCAAGAAAGTTATTTCTATGCCCATTGACTTATGCAGGCACCTAGGAAGGAAGACAGCAGATGCAGTACAGTGTTCAAATGGAAACTAATGCAACCTCCTGAATGCATTTGAAGGATATTTCTTTGTTGGTAAATGAATCATACACTGTTGCACCAACGAAAATGAATAATGCACCATATAATTAGATAAGTTGAGGAAGAAATTAGATGGAAGCAGTTTAGGCAAATTGTGATAGCATGCTCCTATTGCTCAGCTGTAGAAAGAATCTATTCTTGTTTGGAGCATACCTAGCATCGACCTGATATCTACATCATTGAGTTAAAAATGGAGATTAGGCTGGACTGGGAGCCTCTGAAACTACAAATATCTGCTATTTTATATCATGTTTCAGCTCCTGACAAATTTCAAAGTGCCATGAAAGAATAATTTATATTTCTATTTTTTGAGGATCGTCGAACTGTTACTTTGAACTCAATGTGGCAGTAGAAGATTTAAATTTGCTCAAGCTTTGATATAATGCAGACTTTGAAGTCTAACAGATTGTAATGCGTTAAAGTTGAACTGACAGTCTTCCCTATGTCACCCCTTGATGTTAAGGTTGTATAAACAACTAAAAACCAGGATATTTATTTCTTATTTGGTCATCAGAATTCGAAAAGTATGTTTATAATTGAGATCTGGCGCTGTGTTACAAAAATGAGAGATGACTTTCTCTTTCACTTACTCTCCCAACTTATCTGCGAAAGAATATTTGATCTTGAATTCTAAGTGAGCCAAATAACAAAAACAATAACAAGAAATATTTCCATTGTGTATCTGTCATTTTCTTTTGGTTGAGCATGTCTAACATACATGGATGCAACTAAGCTTGAACTTCGATTAGTCCGTTTTTGTTGTTCTCTGTTTTACCATGACTATCTGGAAGAAAGGGAATTATAAGTATCACTCTAACTTGAACTATGAGCTTTTATTCTTGGAGGCTCTCAACATTTCCACAGTAACTTTCTTTCTTTTCCATGTTCTTCCTGAGGTTATTTAGTGTATCAAAGATCTCAACTGTCCTTGGGGACGATGAATCCCCAGAAAAGAAAACAGCAATCCTGTTCCTCACTTCAATCCAACTGCATCCTGGGTTCTTTTTCAACCCTTTCTCCTTCATTGAGATTCGTAACTCTGCTGCCTTGTCCCATAATTCAGCTTCTCCATAAAGATTCATTAGTTGACTGTAGTTGCTGCCTCTGCTTGGTTCCAACTTTAACAAATTAAAAGCTGCTAGTTCCCCGAGCTCCACATTACCATGAGCTCGACAGGCAAACAGCAGACACAGCCAAATGCTCCTGTCAGCTTCAATTAGCATGTTTTTCACAAAATTGTAAGCATCTTCCAAGCATCCTGCTCGTCCCAGGAGATCAACAATGTTTACGTAATGCTCCATCTCAGGTTCAATCCCATAGTCCTCTCTCATGGACTTGAATAGATTTTGGCCTTCGTCCACAAAACCAGAATGTTTGCAAGCTGAAATTAAGGAAAGGAAGGTTACATGATCAGGTGTTATTCCACACCTCTTCATCACATCAAACAGCCTCATTGCTTTCAGGAACTCCCCATGTGATGCATAACCAGAAATCATTGAATTCCATGTAATCAAGTTCCTAAGGGACATGTTCTGAAAGATGTTTTGGGCATACTGTAAAATTCCGCACTTGATATACATATCAATTAAGGCATTCTCCACTTGAATATCAGAAGGAATCTTGAGTCTTATTAGATATCCATGCAGAGTTTTTCCTTTAAGTGGAGCTGCTATTGATGAAACTGCAATAAGAACACTTGTTATGGACGCTGAATCTGGATATAAGCCATGCTCCACAATTTGTAGAAAAAGCCTGATTGACAGTTCCAGGAGACCATTCCTTGAATAGCAGGAAATCATAGAATTCCATGCAACAAGATTTTTATGCAGCATACAAGAAAATACATTTCCAGCCATCTCTGAGAAACCACATTTTGAATACATATCTATTAAGGAACTGGCAACAAAAAGGTCCACCTCTAATCCAACTTTGATAACATATGCATGGATCTGGCAGCCGAAAGCTAAATTCTCTAGTCCAGTGCATGCACCTATAGTGCTTGCCATACTATGGGAATCTGGTTTTGTCCCCTGAACCTCCATTGCCTTAAAAGACTGTAAAGCCTCCTTGAATTTACCATTTTGGCAAAAACCTGATACCATTGAACCCCATGCAATCACATCTCTTTCCTTCATTTTATTAAAAACTGAACCAGCATCATCATTATTCCCACATTTAGAGTACATAGTCACCAGTGCACTCTGTACAGTAATATTATCCTGGATAGGTCTTTTCATCACCTCTGCATGAATTGACTTACCATAATCATATAATTCCAACATGCTGGAAGATGATATAACATTTGACAGCGTGAAGGAATCAGGTAGCATTTCACATAGTCTCATCAGTTTGTAAACTTCCAAAGCTTCATGAACACAACCATTACTAGCATAAGCTGCAATCATTGCATTCCACAATTCAATTTTTCCATCTGCTGTCTGATAAAAGACCCTTTCTGCCTCTTTAATTTGTTCGCATTTAGCATACATGGTCAACAAAGAAGTACAGACATATGAATCATTATCAAACCCCATCTTGACCACATCTACATGCACTTGCCTGCCAAAACCAATAATTTCACCATGGCAGCAGGCACTTAAAGTACTTGTAAAGGAATTTGAAACAGGTTTGATATTCTCATTCTTCACCTCTGAATATAACTCCAAACTATTCTCCCACAAACCATTCTCACAAAACCCACCAATCATTACATTCCATAGCACAACATTGTCCTTATGTTCCATCATAACAAACGCACGCCAACCATACATTGGTTGACCACAACCCCAGTACATATCAATAAGTGCGGTCTCCAAGAAAGAATCAACACCAAACACGTTCCTAATAATGTAGCCATGAATTTGCTTCCCTTCCATATAGCCCGAAACTCCACCATCACACACACCAAGCAGTATACAGAGCGAGAAGGCATCAGGCTTCATACCCAACAATTGCATTCGACAAAAGTAATCCACACCCTCCTTAATATGCCCAAATCTAAAGTGCCCATCAATTATAGAGTTCCAAACTGTGACGTCCCGGACCAAAACCTCACTCTCACAAAATTTATCAAACACGTGGACTGCACTATAGAATGACCCACATTTAACATAAAAGTTGATGAGTGAAGTGGTGATGAAAGGATCAGATTGCAAATCCAAAGCGAAGACTTTGGAATGGATGATCTTGCCGTGGTTAAGATTAGGGAGGGAAGCACAGGCCTTGAGCAGCGAAGGGAAGGCAAACTTAGAGGTTTTGAGGAGGGCCTGTGAATTTCTGGAGTATAATTGCAGGGCTTGTATGTAAGATCCCTGTCGGACAAGAGTTTGGATGGTGGAAATAATATGGGTTGATGAGATATTCGAGGGTGTTAGATGTGAAACTGTGCGAATAAGCAGACAGGGGAGCTTGGAATGCATGTCACCATTGCTGAAGCTTTGCAAATGATTATTAGACGAACCGAGGGTCAATGAAGTTTCCCATAAAAATGGGACCTTTTTTCGCTTTTTAACGAGGACACATACAATGACCCTTTTCCATCTTAGACACAACTATTTTGAACATTATTGTATTATTTTTATGACATATTTGATAGTTGAAGACTCACACAGCTTAACATAATTTTGTCTTTGATTTTTGAAATTTTAGGATTTTAAATTGATTAAGATTTTTTCCAACTATTTTTTGCTTATCGCAAGTAAATCTTTTTTCAGTTGAGTTAACAAGTAATCTGTGAATTTAAATTTTTAATTAGAAACTGTAACTCGTGCTTAATTAAAATTTTGATGAACTGACATTGAACCAAAATACGTGAATTTATATACCATGATTAAATAATTTAAAGTTAATACAAGGGTACAGCCTCATTATATTAATAGATAAGCAGAAATTTAACCATAACACTCATAGTCGCTCTTACTTTTTAATCTAGATAGTCGAATTCGAACCAAAAAAAACAAAAGAACATGCTATTGTTGTCCATCGTTATTCTTAGTTGCTTATGAACAAACTATTCCTAATATCAGGATGTTAGCATTTGGATATTTGTTTTTTGTATGGGGAGATAATGGAATCCCTAATTCATGGAAAAAGAAGAGTATCCAACATTTTCAACACAGAAATTCTCAATCATCACCCAACTCCCTCTCTGCATTCTCCTTACACAGTTCTCATTTCTCATTTCTCATTTATCTTCTTCTCTGTTCTGCTTCGATCTTTTTCCTTCTTCCATAATTCCTCTAAACCAGGATTAGGATCCTAACAGCTTCTAAAAGAAGCCTGTTCCTGCTGTAGCAGTCCAAATCGGGATTAGTAATGGTCGTCTCCATGCCAGGAGCATTCTATCTTTGGAGTCTTCAATAGCTAACTTTCTTTGTCTTATGTGTTCATGTTTTTAATGGCAATCTTCCGCTTTTTCATTTGTCCCTTCTGCTTTTCATTTGCCTTCCTCTTCTTTGATTGCTTTTGGAATGATTTTCCCACCAATGAAGGCTGTTCTTTTAATGCAAAGCTCTTTGCAACATGCCCCAAATGAAGTTTCTTCACCATGAATATTCTCTTCAGCTCGCCACGATGGGCTGTGTACGCACGAATCCAAGAGCAAAATGCACTCTTCGCCAGTTCCTTTATCTTTGGCTGATTGCATAAGATAATAAATTATAAGCCGGAATCACAAAACTGGAAAGAATTTAAGATTTAGAGAGGTAAGATACAAGGAATAAAAAATACAGACTGCTAATACCTTAGCCAAGATGAAGGATTCAAGTGCCCTCTGAAGAAGAATCACCCAAGGATGTGATTCTAAGCAAAACACCTTTTTAACACGTGGCATCTGACCATACAATGGGAATTTATCTAACACTTTGAGAATAGGAAATTCAGCAAGTGAGACACCATGTTTCTCCAGGTCTTGTAAATAATCTAGTTCAATGGGTTGCAGAAACAATAGTGATTCTCCTCTTTCACCTAAACGAGCTGTTCTACCAACTCTGCATCATGGATTAGAAGTTGCATCAGCTCCAATATACCATATATTCAAATTCAAGAAGAGCTGAAGGGCTAGCCTAGGCATTTGGTAGTCCCAATCAAGAATTTTCATACTCACAAAAGTTAGCTCCATCCTAATGAATTACAAGTTTGAATTAAATAGCAAAAGAGATCTGTTTTCATTGGTAAATAGAAGATTGACTTTTGAGAGCTCTGACTCAGAGCAGTTGCCAACGGAAGAAAAAAATGATAGTAAAGGAATTCCACAGGAAAAACGCAAAAAAAGTACCTATGCACATATTCAGTAGCCTCTCCTGGAGAATCATACTGTATTATACATCTGACTTTTGGAAAATCTAATCCTCTGGCAGCAACATCTGTACTCAAGAGAAGGGCCAATTTCTCAGTTTTAAAGGCCCCAACCGTGCTTCTCCTATCTTCCTGCTTCATGTTTCCATGTAAGCGAAAAGTTTTGCATTTCAGAAAAAACTGTTTGAGTTCTGCTTCTGGTTGTGAATATGGTGACAACTGGAATTTGCTCAAGAGTGAGTAGTGGAAATCTACTGCATCACATGTTGAAAAGAATACCACAATCTGTAGAATGAGTGTGTGAGCAAACTTGACAAGTGAAACCCAAAGAAATTATGAGGTGACATGAAATTCAACTTTGTGCAAATGGCCTAGGAAATTGAACTAGTTAGCCAAATAATCAGGAAATGTATGATTCTTCCAGGTGATGCAATTATAAGGCTAAGCTATACCTTTTGAGAAGCTTCTCTCTCAAAAAGATGCTTTAGGATGGAAATTAGTACAGCGAGCCGTGAACCACATGGAACTGCACCAGAATCTTAATCAGGATTTCCATAACTTGTCAAAGTGCTTCTAGAAACAATTTCGGTTGACATGTACCTTTAACATATCTCTGAATTAATTGAGCTGGAAGCTTATAGTCTCCAGATAAGGAGACTGTCATTTTGTTTAAGAGTTCTGCTTCAACATCAGATCCCACAGATCCACTATGATCAAGCAAGATATTTGATTGCACCTTGTTGTCATCAAGACCAATCATAACTGGATTTTCCAAACTAATTTGGGCTAGATGGTTTACTTTTTCATTCAAGGTTGCTGATAGTAGCAAATTCTGTCTCTGACTCTCAGAAGCTACACTCCCCTTGGCAACAGGCTCACTTTTCCTCGAACCCAAATGATCAAGAATTTCCTCTATTTCTTTGCCAAATCCTAGTTCAAGAATTCTGTTAATGCACAAAAAGAGTTAACAAACGAGCCAAGGAGAATACAAGGAGAATATGGTAATGGATGAATCCTGTAGCACTATACTATTCAGTAAAAGATTGAAACTTTTCAACCTCAAATAGAAAAAGTTACCTATCCGCTTCATCAAAGATAATCCAACGTAAATTTGTATATAAGAATGATGCTGTATTCTTTAAATGATCCAAAAGGCGTCCTGGTGTTGCGATAAGAATAGATATGCCTGAAAAGAATCACATGAGATATTCATCAATTTATTTATACACGATAATGCAACTAGTTGGAAGACAGCAGAAAAGAATCTTTAGACAAAAGCATTATGCATAAATAACCAATGAATCAAGAAAAGGAACCGAAAATATTTTCACTAGCAAATGTTAATAGAACAAGAATTTCTACCTCAATTTTCTATTTCTTTAGTTGGAATGGGAAAAAAAATAAAGCAAACAAAACACCCTCCAAGTCAATTATGAAACCAAATCAAGGGCATCAAATTGCCGTTCACCTCATCACAACCAATAATAGCACATAAAAAATAATAAATTAAATTCACAGAACATTAACATGCAAAAAGTGTACCTTTGCGCAGCCTAGCTTTCTCCTTAACCCTATTTTCTCCTCCCATAACATAACCAGGGACAATCCAGTGAAAGCGATGCAATAGCTTCTGCAGTGTCTCATAAACCTGCAAGCACAACTCACGCGTTGGCACCAGCACCAACGCTTTGTTATCACCCACATCACGTCGTCAGTTTTAGCAACTAAAATGCTAAAAAGAATCAACCCAAAATAAAACTTCAAAATATAATCGTGGGGGGCGGGGGGGGAGGGAAGAGAAAACAAGCAGCAGCAGAGGCAGGACACACCAAAAGTGCCATAAGAACGGTCGATTCGAGGAGAGAAAGCGTGCAAGTGATGAATAATTGGAGCCAGATACGTGACCGTTTTGCCAGTTCCAGTAGCCGCATTTACAAGCCTATAATTTTAATTTTTGCTTCGTCAAATACGGTTAACTCCAAATTAAGTGACATTTATTAACAATAACGCTGAAAAAGAATTACACTTAAAATTGTAAAACTAGAAAGTGAGAGGAAAGCATACACATGACGGCCCGAGAGAATAACAGGAATAGCTTGGGCTTGAATAAGCGTGGGAGCTTCGAATCCCATCCTTTCTGCCATTGAATTTAATTTCTTAACTTTTAATACAAAGTGCTAATCCATTTAATACTGTTAAGCATACTTTGTGCGTCTGTGTGTGCATATATATATATATATATAAAAGAGACACAGAGAGAGAGAGAGAGAGAAGCGAAGATAACCTCGGAGCTGATTGCATAAGGTTGGGTGGAGGCCGAGGCTAGAGAAGGAGCAGGACGCAAATATTTCGGTGCCTTTGCCGGTCCGGTCGTCTTCTTCGTTTAACCTCTCCTTCTTCATCTCTCTCCTCACGGTCCGAACAGCTGCTTTCTTCTTCTCCTACCTTTGGACGAGCCAATTATGAAGGGTTTTGCAATGCAACTTCACTTTGCAGGTTCTACCAGGCGCACGACGTCGTTTCAACGTTTCAAACGGCATCGTTTCAATATTTTTACCCTCGTCTCCCCAACAAATCGGGAATGACAAAGAATCGGGTCTACGGATTTGGTAAAACCCGCATTTGACCCTAATTAAAACCCGAACCACTCTGAATCCGACGGGTTTGTATCAGACCCTATCGGATTTTCCAAAACTGACCCGATTGAACCTGATTGAAACATGAAAAGAGGCCCACGGCCCGAACAAGCATCTTCCGGGGCTCCAGCTTTCAGATTGATTGGCATAACAACGTGGATGACCATGCGCGCTTCCAGTTCCAGTTCCATCTTCATCAATGGCGGATAAGAACATGATAAAAGCTCCAATTTAGTTTCTCTTTTGACCCAATACCGCCTGCATTTCTCATTCTCTATCCCTGCCTCTGCTTCATCTCTTCCCATCTGACATGACAGCTTTATTTGAGGCAGCTTTCTCTAACCCCCTCTTCTACAATAATCCTTACACGCCACCACTAAAGTTTCCATCTAAACCAAGCGTCCCCGCCTGTTCGACCAATCCAGGAATCACCGGACCCGACCCAATAACCAACCCTCCTGACCGAACCAGAGATCGCAGGAAAGTGGTCCGGGTGGCCTGGGAGAAGCTGGTCCGATGGTCCCGCTCTTGGCGCTCTAAGGCCAAGACTGACGTTCTTGAACGCACTCGCAAGGTCATTCTTGCTTCTTGTTTGTACCAAAAGCCGTTGAAAATAGAAAATTTCTTTCATTTTGGCCGAATCTTTAAAAGAATCACAAAGGGTTAAAAACGTTTCATTTTGGGTATCTTTTTACTGTTACTGTAGGTGGTGGTGCTTGGAGGTGGGTCATTTGGTACTGCAATGGCTGCCCATGTTGCTAATAGGAAGGCGGATTTGGAGGTTAACATGCTTGTACGTGACCCTCTTGTTTGCCAAGCAATCAATCAGAGCCATTACAATTGGTGGAATTTTCTTTTTGGGTTTTGCTTCCTTGTTTTTCATCTTTAGGTTTCAATTTCATTCAGCATGATGATTACTTGTCCATAACACTAGTTTAGTACTCTCTGATTTTTTATTGTCAGTAAGTACTTCCCTGAACACAAGCTACCAGAAAATGTAATTGCAACAACTGATGCAAAAACTGCTTTAATTGGTGCTGATTACTGCCTTCATGCTGTACCTGTGCAGGTCTGTTGATGCTTCATTCAATTTACAACCACTATTTTGTATTTCAAGCTTTTTTTCCTTTCTAATGTCTATTAACTTAAGAGTATTTTAAGAGTGATGTAGAAAATCCTTTTGGCTGTTTGTTTATGAGATTATGTATTAAACAGAGGCAACTGCCTGAATCTTGCTTCTTTAAGTACAGTTCAGTTCATCATTCCTTGAGGGCATTGCGGACTACGTTGATCCAGGATTACCCTTCATATCACTTAGCAAAGGATTAGAGCTCAGTACATTGAGAATGATGTCTCAGATTATTCCCAAAGCACTGAAGAATCCTCGTCAACCTTTTATTGCACTTTCAGGGCCTTCATTTGCATTAGAATTGATGAACAAATTACCAACAGGTTGCTTTCTAATGTTGATTATATGCCACCATATGAATTTTAGTTATCTTTCCTCCTTTTAACTAATTCATATTTGAGACATTTTTTTCTCGTTGCATGTCTTTTGCTCTCACAGCAATGGTGGTGGCGTCAAGGGACAAGAAATTGGCAAATGCTGTTCAGCAGCTACTAGCCTCTAGTTACTTAAGAATCAACACTTCAAAGTAAGGCTTCTCTATGTTATTCATGATTTTTTTCCACCTAGTGCTCCACCAGCCACATGCTCATCTATAAATCACACTCCATTTCTGTAGTTCAACCTCTTATTTTCATGTTATTTACCTGTATTTATTGCTTACCAACTATAAGATGTATCTACAGTAACGGCACCCTCATATTTATTCACCTTTAGATGATAGGTGCACAATGAAATAACTGCATCAAAGTGTAGATATCTATATGATCATTGTACCCTGGAGATCCCCTTTAGAAACTAAGTTTTTTCTTAAAAATCCCAACTTCTTGTCTTTCATCTGTTTAATGGTATTCCATCTCCCAAACACCTTATATAGCCTTGATAAGTGTTTTGCGAGTTTTGACTATGAACTAGAAAAAGAATGCAACTTAAAAAGGTTAAGAAATAATGTGTCACTAAGAAGTAAATGTGCTCAGCTTTTAACCTCTGATAAACTCCAGTGATGTCACAGGGGTGGAAATTGCTGGGGCACTTAAAAACGTACTTGCAATAGCTGCAGGGATTGTTGAAGGGATGAATCTAGGTAATAATTCTATGGCGGCTCTTGTGGCACAAGGTTGTTCTGAGATACGATGGCTAGCAACAAAGGTATTTGATGCATTTTCCTGATCATGAGATTTTATCCTTGCCGTTTTACATTTTGTTTGCAGTAAAAAGCCATCTTACTTGAGTTTTATTCAAGTTATCACTCTTTTGTCACCATTTTATGATATCTTGGAGAGTATCTAGGTCTTGTAGTGTTAGTTTTTCATTATCTGACAGATCTTTACCTCTGCTTTGTATTTGTAGATGGGCGCAAAGCCAACAACCATAACTGGTCTATCAGGAACTGGAGACATAATGCTCACATGTTTTGTGAATCTATCAAGAAACAGAAGGGTTGGAGTCCGTCTAGGATCAGGAGAAAAACTTGGTGATATACTTGGTTCCATGAATCAGGTGCTTGTTTTTTGTCTCCCTCTTGTCAATAGTTGAAGCGAAGCTAAAAATGAATATGACTAAGTTAATGGCCTGGTGCTGTAGGTGGCAGAAGGTGTATCAACTGCTGGAGCGGTAATTGCATTGGCCCAGAAATATAATGTTAAGATGCCAGTTTTGACAGCAGTTGCCAGAATTATAGACAATGAGCTAACCCCAACAAAGGCCGTTCTTGAATTAATGAGCCTCCCTCAGGTGATTCAAACTCTCAACTTCACTTAGTTTGATATAGTTTCTGACTGTTAGTTAACTTTTCATCTTTGATGAGTCATCGACAACAGATGTTACTTACCTTAATTGCAGGTTGAAGAAGTGTGAAACATACAGGTTTCTCAAAGAGATGCACTGTTGTTCTACCAGAGCAAAATACTTGGGGCATATTGGTTGTCGTATAAGCAAGCTAAGTGCTTATTCGTGCAGATTAAAATATAGAATTTTTGTTCCTTAAAAAAATTCATCCACTTTTTTGGGGTTGTATTTTCATCTTTTTTATCATATTGGTTTTGGGAGATTAGATTTGGAGTTATGAGTTGGATGCTGTTGGGTATCATTGATTCAAGTGTTTTCTTGTCAGTTCAGTTGTACCCTAAATATTCCACGGATGCTCCTGAATTGACAAACATATCTAAAATGCAAATTAAAAAAACAGGTTCATGCTTTGCATCTCATGAATACTCTTTTTCCTCATTAGTAACAAAAGATTCTCCCTTTCAATTCTACTGTTAAAATTTCTCCATTCAAGAAAGTAAAAAAAAATCACCAAATAGTGAAGATTGATTTAAATGGTTCTCATACAACAATGTGGAGGCAGAGAAATTTGTTGCATACCCTAATTAATAATCTCAGTCGAGTCAAATCTAAAGTATAGATGAAAGCTTGATGTTTTGTTTACTTCTCTTGATGCTTAGTTGGATGTTGTTTAGGAGACAAGGATTCAGGCTTTGCAGTTGAGCAGATTGACCTTCAATTTCATGACATCTGAAGGTTTCAGTGGCTTTAGCATGAACATCTGGGCTCCTTCCTCCAAGCATCTGTTCATGAAAGATAAAAAATCTCAACAGGTGTCGGGATATTCTCAGATGACACAAATAACATGTATGCTACAAAGAATTACTTGTTAATGCGTGTTGGGATATCCTCAGATGACATAATGACAACTGGAACTTCCTTCATGATCGATGATTCCTGCTGGGAATAATCGGAGATTAGACGTTGTAATAACAGCTAAAGTTATTGAGTTGCTCAAGAAATTTTTCTTGATGACTCCTCAAAGCTTCAATACCTTGACTTTCTTAAGTAGCTCAAATCCTGTCATTCCTGGCATACAGTAATCTGTAATTATCAAGTTTATGTTGGAGACCTGCAAATGCCAAAAAGGGTAATGTTATGGATGACTGATTTCTATTTTTAACACGTGAGAGAAAATTTTAATGGCGGCTGCTTACAATTGGCCTTGAAGTGTTGTCTTCATCCTCCCCCAAGCCTAAATACTCCAAAGCTCTCAGAGCATTCTCTGCAGTAGTCACTGCATGCAGCACAGTCACACACAGATACATATAGTTAGAGCAATATGTCACCACCTCTGTATAAATCACAAGATTTGGACTGTACAAAATAGCCAAACAAACCAACAAGTCAACCTAATCTCCATAAACCCATTAGTGTATGGAATAGAAATAGAGCAAAAAGATTTGCTATACATACATAAATGCATATACATATATATATATAGTGAAGAGATAAAGGAGAAAGAAGTTGCCTTTGCAAGAGGAGCTCATGAGCAATCTCTCAACCAGTTTGCGGTCAATGAGGTTATCATCCACTGCCAAAACATGAAGCTCCTCCATTGATGAACAAGATCCGTCCATTCTTCACTCAAACAAATTAAATTCAATATCTGCAAACCAGAAGATACACCGTGTGGAACAAGTAATGCAAGCAGATAAACAGCAAGAAACAAGCTCACAGGAGACGTATGAAACCTCCAAAGGAGGGTGTTATATGAATATTTATAAAGAACCCACAAAAGATATGAAGGTGATAAATATTTAAGAACCTGTTTGGTGGGTGAGAATCCGAGGAAAAAAAGAAGAATATATATTATTATTGGAAAACTCCATACACACAAATTCACTACAGAGAATATCAAAGTAGATCACAGATATTTCGTGATCCTTGAGCTTTTTCTTTGATTTGATTCAGTCTCATTCTTATTATAGGAAACCTCTACATATATATATATATATTATATATAAACATATATATAAAGAATCTGTATCAGCATCAGTATCTGCAAGCTTTCTGCAAAATCCTGAGAGCTGAAGCCAAGGAAACATCACCGATTTCTGGACCACGTTAATGGGAACCGCAATATTTTAGTCCTTGTTATTATTATAATAAATCGAAATTAAAATCCAATTTATCATTTTATTTTCTTTAATTAAAATATTTTATAAGTTCTATTAGGATCATAAACTGAAGGATTTACTGATTTTATTTGATCTTCCAAAATGGTTCCCACTTTTGCTCAATCACATAAATCAAATCCAAACAGATTTTATTTTATGTATGACTCAATTAATTTAATTTTAGATCTTATTAACCAAGGCAAATTATCCATACTAAAGCTAATAATATCTTTTTTTATAAAAAAAAATTAATTAATTTTTGGATCCTATTTTAAGATAATTTGAATATTTCATTAAAAATAACTTCAATTTAAAACATGGTCTGGAAAAAAAATCTCTGAAACATAGGAGAAATTTTGGGGTGTTGCTTAGATATCGAGATACCATTTTCTTTTTTCTTATTTAACCCACAAATCAAATTATATCCACGAAAGATTATAAATAATCAGATTTTTTTATAGTTAATCCAATCAAATTATGGATCATGACATGATCAAATATTTATATCCCTACAGATGGCAGATGAAGCTTCTTCTGCAATTGCCTGCCCTTCCATGTTTTAAAAACTTGTACCTTATGAAACAGAAGATTTCTCTCTCTCTCTCTCTTCTTTTTTCTTCTCTTTTGAAGTTTATATAAACTTGTTGAGATGTTTATTTGGGTATGAATAAAAGTCAACGAGAAGTTTTGGGTATAACATTGATTTGCCAATGGCAATATAATTACCATTTGAAAGTAATTAATATCCGATATAATCATGATTGTCTATCTTCTCCCATGGCAGATTACCAACAAACAGAAATTGATTTGGTTCACTTCATTTCGTATGATTTCTCAAAACATAATCAATTAACAGGAAATTAAGCAGTAATTTTAGAAAGATTCATTGTTTAAAAAGAAAGGAAAAACATATCTTTGATGGGGATTTCAATTTGAAGAAAACAACATTGAGATCCTAAATGAGACAGCTTGCAATTCGAATTTCAAGCCATTGTATTAATGGAAAACCTCTATGTAATCAAGGCATGCTGGGTTTGCCAGATGAATAAATGACTCTGATTTTGTCCTTGAAGAAGCACGAAGCTTAAAATAGAAAGACCTGGAAAAATATTGCACTTCCCATTTGACATACATTTAATACCCTTTTTATATGAATTGTCCATAACAAAATTTTATAACTCAATCCCATGGTTGCACTTCTATCAAGTTTTCAATATCCAGTAACATAGGCTTTAGAAATTGAGAAGCAAGAAGGTGTGATCGGTTGCTACAATGACTAATAATGAACCTGAGAATCGGTACCATCACTTGATGCTCGCCTTTGGAATAGATGACGTGCAAGGCCCAGCAGTTGTCATAAATGGTATACCCTTATAAGTGGCTACACCCTTGTCATCGGTGAAAAGATGCTGCAGCAATGAAAGCAGCATCCATATTACAATGCAAACTCAAAAGGATCCATGTCGAGATTCAAAGGAAAGGCAACCGATATGAGTCACAGCTAGTTTGAAATGCATACCGGTGTTATCTTCTCTAACTGCTTCTTTTTTGGGTTTAGGACATCTTCTGGCTTTCCATCAATCCTGCATAAAGGCATTAACAAAATTTAAGATAATCCACAGCAAAGTGGAAAAAATAATACTTCAACCAATGATGCCAAAACCATTACATTCTGCTGTAATTCTGTGTAAGACAAATATGTTACATGTTATGGTTCTTGCTATTAACATGTGTAAATTGCACAAGTGTACAGCTCTTAAGGTAGCTGCCATTGGTATTTAGCATATATTCAACTAAAAACTCTTTACCCTGAAAATGAAATGCACTCTCCAGGTTTGGCTCCTTCTGGAGCGTGCAAAGGCTCGACTACTGTGTGATCTTCATTGGAAGCACATAGTACCTGGTAAATAGGAAGCACAAATATGAAGGCAGATTAATGTCATGCCCGTGAAGGAACCTTTTCTCGTAATTTCTAACCTACATGCTGTATAATTTAAAAAACAAAAGGTTTTAATCCACTTGCTATGCACTTGTTTGGGCAAGAAATAGATGAACTGTTTATGGACTCAAGAACTCAGTTTGGTTTTCATAAATAAGGAACTCAACAAGATGTGCATGATACATTCTTTATCTTTTAATGGAAATGAATTCTTTTCTTTGAACTTCTTTGGCCTTCCATATCAAGTTTGAAACTGAAGTGATTTATGCATTTTTCACAATGTAGAATATACTTTAAAACACACAATATGATCCTAAGTGCATAAAGGATTGGGGAAAAGACTGTTTTTCTGATTCATTGATAAACAAGACCTGGATGATGACTATTACCTTGAATACAGATTGTTCCAATCAAAATAATGATTGTCTAGGTGAATATTCCAGTACATCCAAAAGTAATGTGACATACACTTCCAAGCATTATAAAGTATGAAGTTACAACGCTCGCTTTCAGAATATCTTTACTGCTGAAATGTGTTTTTTCTTTTTTTGTCGAAATTATTTACTGCTGAAATATATTAATACATGCTTAAGTTTTGCATAATACATCCAACTCCTCTAACAAGAGAAAAAAAAATTATAAGTATCTCATCAAAATGCCAAGAAAATATTACCAATCCTTCTGACATCACATCTCGTAACTTTCCCGGTTTTACATTGGTAATCAGCACAACTTTGCGGTTCTTCAATATGCAAATGAACATGAAAGAAACCATAGGAAAC